AGTTCATCTCTTTCTCCGACTCGCTGTCCAGGCCAGTTGTCATGTTTATGCATGGTTACATTCATCTCTGATAGGGATCAGAAAAGATTTCCTACAGTTTTGTGAAATCTTCCTTTGTTCATTTGCATGTCCTTTATTTTATTTTATTTTATTTTTTAGTGGGCTTTTTAAAAATATATTTTATTAATTATGCCATTACAGTTGTTCTATTTCCCCCCTTTATTCCCCTCCACCCTGCAAACCCCTCCCCCACCATTCCTTCCCCTTTAGTTTATGACCACGTGCCTCATGTTCTTTAGATTCTATATTTCCCATACTATTCTTGCCCTGCCCCCTATCTATTTTCTACCTACCATCTATGCTACTTATTTTCTGTACCTTCTCCCCCCTTCTCCTTATCCCACTCCCCTGTTGCTAACCCTCCATGTGATCTTCATTTCTATGGTTCTGCTTCTGATCTAGCTGTCCTCTTAGTTTGCTTTTGCTTTAGGTGTGGTTCTTAATAACTGTGAGTTTGCTGTCCTTTCACTGTTCATCTTTTTTATCTTCTTTTTCTTAGGTAAGTCCCTTTAACATTTCATATAATAAGGGCTTGGTGATGATAAACTCCTTGAATTTGATCTTATCTGAGAAGCACTTTATCTGCCCTTCCATTCTAAATGAAAGCTTTGCCGGATAGATCAATCTTGGTTGTAGGTCTTTGGTTTTCATGACTTGGAATACTTCTTTCTAGCCCCTTCTAGCCTGTAAGGTCTCTTTTGAGAAATCCACTGACAGTCTGGTGGGAATTTCTTTGTAGGTGACAATCCCCTTATCTCTTGCTGCTTCTAAGATTCTCTCCTTCATTTTAATCTTGGCTAATGTAATGATGATGTGCCTTGGTGTATTTCTTCTTGGGTCCAACTTCTTTGGGACTCTCTGAGCTTCCTGGATTTCCTGGAATTCTATTGCCTTTGCCAGATTGGGGAAGTTCTCCTTTATTATTTGTTAAAATAAGGTTTCCACTCGTGACTGTTCCTCTTCCCCTTCTGGTACTCCTAAAATCCGGATGTTGGAATGTTTAAAGATGTCCTGAAGGTTCCTAAGCCTCTCCTCATTTTTTGAATTCTTGTTTCTTCATCCTTTTCTTCAAAAAATGACAGAAAAGGTCATTTTTTTCCTCCTTCTGGTTCACTCCTTTGATTTGAGTCCCAGTTTCCTTTCCATCACTATTGGTTTCCTGTTCATTTCCATTCATTTCAATTAGTTTAGCCTTCATATGTCTCTCTAATTTGTGACTAAAATCAACCAGTTCTGTGAGCATCCTGATCACCAGTGTTTTGAACTGTGCATCTGAAAGACTGGCTATTTCTTCATCGCTTAGATTTATTGGCTCTGGGGCTCTGAATTCTTCTTGAGCCATGTTTTTATCTGTTTGTGCCTGTTATATGTGAAGAGAGGCGCCTTAGGTGTTCACCAGGGCCGGGCCACCCAGGTTGCTGTATGTGGGGGCAGGGTCAGAGAGGGACAATGGCAGTTCCCTCTGCCGCTTCCTACCACTGGGGCCTGCGTGGCCCGTCTCACTGCTAGCTCCTTCACTGGTTTATCTGCGCGTGAATCTGTGACCATGGTCAGCCCTCAGTGGGTCCACCGCCTTGCACCCTCAGTGGGTCTGCCGTCTTATGCCCTCAGTGGGTCCGCCTGCTTCTCCACACTTGGTATCTGGCCACGGCTGCTGGCACACCTGGGTTGCTCACCCAGTTCGGTCTGGTGGATCTTTCCAGCCTGACCCTGGTCTGCTGCTGGCTCTGCCCCTCTTAATGGTTTGGCTGAAGGGTTTATTGTTGTCAGACTTCCGTGTAGTTCAATTGTCTGTGGTTTGGCTACGTTTTTATTGCTAAAACTTTGTTGTTTTTAAACTTGGTTGTGTGAGAGGGTGCAGTGCTTCCACCTACACCTCCATCTTGGCGGAAGTTCCTCTGCATGTCCTTTATTTTAATGCCAAATAGCAATACAAATATTATGCAATGCCATCACTTCTCACTCCCCTAAAAGAGTTTCTATGTTACATTGACAAAGCTTTGCCCTCAAATATTCTAATTATTTTCCATCTACCTCTTTAAGTGCAAGTTAAGCCCTATGCGTTAAGAGACTATATCAGTTTTGATTGTCTTACATCAGTTAGGAAAATCTCCCTATAATTTGTTTTGTAGTTAATTCTTTCCCTCTTTACTCTTCCTTTCAAGTTTCTTAAAATTTTGACCTGAAACACTTTTTTATTGCATTTATCCATTTCACAGCTATGGAATAAAGCCATCTGAACCAGTTCAGAGCCTATCACCCTCAAATCACCATATCATTCAGGGTGGACTTTTGTTTTTGCAGCCCCTGGAATAGAGCTTCTCTAAGGCCAAGCTCAAAGAATGCCCAGCATTTCTGAGGATAGACAGTGCCACCTAGGGTCCCTCTGCCCAGGTGGGTTCATGTCCTCCCCAGGCCCACCTGCTGATCTGTCTAATCCAGACATTGCCTGACAACCAGTAGTCTCTCAGGGACGCTTGGCTGACATGAGAAGATTGAGAGAACTAGTTCCAATAACATATTTATGTTTGCATTTTTCTTACTTCTTGGGACTCAGGTTTGTTGCTGTTTATTCCTGTGACTCTACTCTTTGCTGGGAAGTCAAGCGATCAGAACTTTAAGGAATCCAACACAAACAGATGAAGTTGGAAGGTTTAAAGCTCTTCCTTAGCCCCAGACCTTCCTTCTTGTTCTTCTGTGGTATCTGTCAGATGCTGGGCCTGGCCTCACTGAGGAAGCTCTGTGGTCAGGATCACCATAGAAAGAGATGGGAAGTAGGCCAGATGGACCAAAACATGTGGATTTAGCTGCCTTCGTGTGCTCAGGTGAGCACTGTTCCCCCGCTTTACAGGTTAGTGTGTAGGAGGTTTTGTGGCAGAAGGAGCTTCACAATCTCACTTGAGGAGCAAGCGATGCTTCGTTAGCTCTGCCATGGCAGGAAGTTAGCTCTGTTTGGGCTCATTGCAAAATATCACAATGTTGCCACATGCTCAAACCAATGCTGCTTCCCTTTACTCTCTGTCCCCTGCAGTGACTGGGGAGTCCCAAAACCTAACCAGGAAGCATTAAAAAATTCAGCTTTGCGTGCATTAACAGATTATTAGGAGGAAACTAGGGGTGAGTAAGCAGCTTATAGGTGAGTCACCAGTATTACAAAAGCACACCTTATTTGTGAAACAACCTAAATATTGGACATACTATGATCTCTTTCTATTAAATATGGAATTAGCAAACTGTTAAATGCATTCACTTGTTTGGATTTAGGTTGTTACCCCCAACCAGTATACTCATTGAAAGCATTGATGTTTACTGGTTGGTTGTTCATTTTCTAGTAGCTGCTAAAGTTTTTTCAGTTTAATAAGAAACTGGAGGGATCCCTTTGGTTCTGAGGGCCATATGCCAGTTCCTAGGACACTGCTGGGCTTCCCAACACAGTGAGCTGGAGGTAAGTGACAGAGCTGCTGTCCGAGTTTCAAGCCCTGACCACCATAAACTCCACACCGATTAGCCATTTGGTCGGTCCCACTACTGCCTTTCTCCCCCTCCCCTGGGCCCCACCCCATTCCACAGCCACTTTTCTCCCTAAGTAACTAGTAAATTATTAGTCACGTTTTATAAACACATACCCACTAAGGTGTCAGTGACTTTTGTGTTCCCACAGGAACCTGCATTTTAATAGAAACGACAGGAAAGGGGCAGCACTGAACTGAAGAGATGGCATCCAATCCTAGGACTTTAAGCATTGGATCCACCAAATGAGAGTATATAGTTCAAGAAGCCCTTGGCCCTTTGTACTGAATGGAAATTTGGTCTCCACTTTCAACTGGTAGCCTCTGAAAGCAGGCAAAATCAAGCAGAAAAGGCACATGAGAAGAATGGAGTTTACTTGACTAAGCTATGGGATCAACTGTCTTCTGCCCAGGCTGGTTGATGGACAAAGGTGCAGTGGTTGATACCCATGAACAATTAGGCTTTGTCAAGTAGAGTTCGTTCTCTTGAAAACTTCCCACTGGACCAGATACAGACCTGACTGTGAAGAGTTATGATACAGACAAAATGGCCCAGCTGGTGCTGGAAACAAGAGGGTTGGGTTGTGTTTAAGGCTGCTTGGCATTCAAGGACTTCAGCGTGAAATTACAGGCTCCAGTCTTATTAGCAGTTCACTCTAAAGAAAGGAATTTCTATTAGAATTTTGTGCTCCAAGGACCATTTTCTCCTTCTTGAGAAGATGGATGCCTCCTCTTACCTGATAAGAACAATGTAGCTGATTGGCTTCCCCTTTTCTTTGACTGCTAGGAAGCTCCATTCCTAGAGTTAAGTTGCAAACACACAAAACACTATGGATAACTCACAGGTCTTTACGTGCATTCTTTTTCTTCACTGACTCTCCACTTTCATAGTTTAGTTTCCCTTTTTGTAATTTGTTATTTACCTAGAACTTTTACAGTTTGTGTTCCTTTATTTCTATTCTAATATAATTTTATTTTATGCATTAGCTTGTAAGCCACCTCAAGTCATTTCCAGAGATGGAGTGCTAATTTTCAAATTGGACAACTCCTTAGAAAGGACAGCACTTTTATTAAAGAAGTTACTCAGGTTTAGCTTGAGGTTTTCTAAGGACAAAGAACACACGGAAAACATTCATACTGGGCAAGTGTGCACGCTACTGCTCCCCTTTGCTGGCCTTCATCCCATATGAGCCCACCAGGAAGTCTGAGGTTCCTTTGTCTGGGAAAGTAGCAGGTTGATTCTTCAGCTTTGAGTGAGGAAGTTGGAAAAGGAAAAATAATATCTACCCCTACCCCCACCCTAGTGGAACTGCCTTCCTCTCCTGTTTGGAATCATGGATTAAGGGCTGCATTCCTTATGCTTTATGGGGTGTGACCCCAGGTATTGAGAGGCTTGTCATGAGACTCAACGAAATGGCATTTTGTAGAAAACTGATTGAGGACAGAAGTGTTCCTCATTCTCCTAGAGCATTTTCCTCCTGTGGTTTCAGAAATCTCTCTATGTCTGCTGGGAGAATCACCAAGTCTTGGGCTCTGAGCTGCTTCCTCTTACCAGGCTGATATTGACTCAAAGGGGGGGGGAGTCAGAGAAAGTATGCATTTCTCTTTTCCTTGTTGAAGGGGGTGTGTCCTGGGGCTGTTGGCCTGCAAGGGCATCAGCCCATGCACTAGGAATTTCTCATGAATCAGAGGACCTGTGAGCATTACAGAGAGCTGCTGTGGTTCAGATATTAAGATCGTCTTTCCAAACAGCTCAAGAAGTTATTGAGCCACAGGTACACTGGAGAAAGAGTTCCCTCAGACTGTGATGTGAAGAGAGGAAAATCACCAGGTAAGCCCAATAGATGTGATTTGATTCCTCAGAGTGTATATTACTAGCATAGGTACTACCTGCTAATCTGAGATATTTTTCCTCCTCATGGGGAAGACTCTGATTTCAAGATCTCGTTTCCTGAAGGTTAAATAAAGAAAGAGAGAGTAGAATAAGCAATGAGCAGAGACAACGATCTCTTGGTACCTGTATAAATTGAGGTATTTGGTGAGACTCAGACTCTAGCTTTTCGAACTCAAAGCTCAGCCTTCTTTCTATCCATTATAACACAGCACCCCCTATTCTTTGGATGTGTCTAGAAGGCAGAGCCACTGAGATAAAGAAGGACATTACTTGTTAAAATATCTTCAGTTCTCAGGCTGGTGACAGCTGTAAGAGACGAGGGGGGAGATAGGGACTGATAGAAAGAAGGTAAAGGGATTAGCCAAAGAACATACATGAGGGATCAATGGACGTGGACAACAGTGTGGGGACTGACCATGGGAGTGGGGGCAGGCTGGGTGGAGTGGAACAAAGGGGGTAAAATGGGACAACTGTAATAGCATAAACCAAAAAATGTGAAAAAATAAAAATAAAATATTAATCTGAAGGCTTCCACTAATTAGAAAAATATTAACCTTAGCAATCTCTTCAGAAATATGCCTGAGGGAATTAAGTTTGTTTTCACTTTAGGATGAATTTATTTAAGCTTTTATGAAACCAGTATACGTCTGGGAAGTATTTTCCAATTTAACTCCCTCCCTGGACTCTGAAAATCCCAAAATTGACCCTTATAACCATTTTCCTTGACTATTCCCTTCAAATAAATATGAAGCAATGCACTATAGTTTTTGACTGGCAGCCCTTGGAAATTAATAATTTTTCTTTTTTTTAAATGAAAAATCTATTTATGTAAACCTAACATCTTATGTAATCCACTCATGACATAAAGTAAATGATGGGAAGTTACTTAAGGTCAAGGTGGAAGAGAAGGGGAGAAAGGAAGACTGGCTTTTCCATAGAGATACCCATTAAACTAAACCCAATAACAACACACATAGGCTCGAGATCACAGACATAAGAAAACAAAAACTAGATAAAAATACATTTGACAATTTGTCAGAATATTAATGCAAACCTTTTATTATGTTCCTTGTTCTATAATAAAACCACTACTAATTATTTACAACCAAGACCAAAATTAAAAACAACTTTACAATTATGGCTACATAATACTTTATTTGGTTAAAACCATTAACAAGTAGGATAACTTTAAGCAAATTATTTTACTTTTCTTCCTGTGGTTAATTAATTTGCAACAGGCATGAAGAGATAAAATGGGAATGTATACATGTTGAGCCTTAGAGGCTTGACTTGCAAAAACTCCTATTTTGTGCACAAGCACGGTTGATGTTGAGCTGTTGCTGACAAGCCTCATAGCTATGTATGCCTTGCTTCTGAAAATAGATGGTAAATTCTTTAATTTTTCTTTTTAAACAGGAGCGGGGTCCACATGACCAAGTTTATCTCTTGCTCTGCTGAGTGAGGGTAGGGAAAGCACCATACTTTTGTCCTCTGATGTCATTCATTTCACAGTTAGATAAGTGCAAATATTGTCCTAGAAAGAAAGTGGACATATGCATTAAAACTAGTGTTCCTACTCAGTGTCAGCTGGAAAACTGAGCTCTGACAAGCTAAGAATGAAAATCCATAAGAACTAGTAAGTGTGAAAGAATTAATAAGTGTTGGCATGTCAAAGAATTATAACAAATCCCTTGTGCACAGTAGAACAAATGAGATACAAAGAGGTGAGCAGCAGCAATGAGATATGTAGCCTTACAACTGTGCAAAACATACCTCAGTCACGTTGATGAGGGTTATTAGTTCCTTGTGGGCCTCTGGGTCCTCAGTACCAATGTCAGTTTCAATCTCCAGAGGCTCACAAACTTTAGAAACTCTAGAGTTTTGATTTTGTTTTTGTTTAAGTAAAGCCTTTTAAACTAAAAGGCTTTAAATGAAATCTTCAGGATAATTCGCTTCTTCTCATAATATAAAAATTTTAAAAATCCGAGTTCCTTCATTGTTTAAGGATAAAAAAGCATTAACTATACATCTGTGGTGTTAGAACAGCCTGTCAAAATGGAACAGGCTCATACCTTCTAAGTTCTGGGTGAAGAGACTTTGTACTGAGCAGATTGTATTTTCCATGAAAACCTTTCACACTTAAGTTTGTATTTTAGCCAAATTTTGTTTGAAGACTTCCTTATGCTTAAACTCTTAGAGAATCAGGCTAATTCTTCCTAATAAGGAACTTGGTACATCTCTTAGAAAAAGAACATTCTCCTATGTTTTTGACCAAGAAACCAATTAAGCAAGTAACTAGCAAAAGAAGTGGCACAGATAACAGCAGAAATACAAAAAAGTTTTTTGAATCAGAATTTTATTATATGACAAAGTGGCCTTTAAAATGAATTAAAAAGCATCAAGATGTTCTTGATAAAGAAAGGTTCAGTAAAGAAACATAGTTGGAATAACTGGTTATTCATTGGGATAAAATGAAAGGTAAACCCTTATTTCATACCAAAACCTGAAATAACTACAGAAAGATTGAAAATTTAAATGCATTAAACAAAACAACAACTAAAAGAAGTGTCAAAAGAAAATATGAAAGAATATTTTTACCGTTTTGTTATAGAAAATTTTTTTTGAAAAATTTAATTTATTTTTAGAAAGAGAGGAAGGGCTGGAGAAAGGGAAGGAGAGAGACATCAATGTGTGGTTGCCTCTCACACGCCTCCTACTGGGGACCTGGCCCACAACTCAGACATATGTTTGGTTCACAGGCTGGCCCTCCATCCACTGAGCCACCAGCCAGGAAAAAATTTTTTAATTCACATAGAAAAATTGACAGATGTGATTTTATAAATATTTCAAGCTTTTGCGCAGAGCGAGACAACATTCTCCAAGTAATATTCCAAGAGAAATACTAGATTTAGAGGAGAAAGAAATTTAGGGAATAAATTCAAGTTTTTCCTTTCTATTTTCTGCAGGTGTAAAAAGGAAAGAATTCCTATGTAATTTACAAGATTGCCAAAATAGTAGAACCAAGACACATGAAAGCATTTTGTAAATTAGAAAGAATTATTCTTATTTCTTCTTATTATATAACTATCACCACTCTCGAGTTGCTGTTCAGTTATTTTTTTCCTGCAAACAGTTCAAAAGGAAGCTCAAATTCTCTGGGTTTTATCCACTCTAAGTAAGCAAAGTAGGTAAGGAAGATGAAAACTAAGCCTGACCTGGGAATTCCAGGAAGGCCAGGTCTGCAGTGCTAAGCTAAAGGCTTGGCTGGAAGAAAGAGCTTGGCACCTTTTCTGAAATGTCAGTAGTTATCCTTTAGGGCTTGGCAATAACTTCTGCTCTATTGAACCATGATTGACAGGAGAAAATCTTTAGCTATCAGGTGTTGGAACAGTGTCAACCCTCAAAGTTGACAGTCAGGCTTTTTAGAAAGGAGCTGAGCCAGACTTGTCCTCTGTTGAGACATAAACTAAACTCTACTAGGACACTAGAAGTAATGGGCAATTAGCTAACAACAAAAATCATCCTGGGTCACTCCTAAGCTACAAAGCACAGACTAAATAGATTTTTTAGGGGCAGGAAGAACAGACGGCTGTGCTGGGCTACCAGCACGAGCAGCAGGAGAAATGCACTCGAGCTGAAGTTCTAATGAGTGACAGGACACACAGACTTGTAAAATATGTATCTCAGGTTTTGGATTAAAAAGGATCAGATGAGGAGGTAGGGTCACAGGGAAACATCAGATAGTTTAAGGGACCCTGGAACCAAAAGATTCCAGCAACCAACACTTGTTTGCAAAAGTGAGTCTGGATCACTACTTTGGGGGTTTTCTCAGTGGGTGGAGCTACAACGAAGGACCAGCCTGCAAAACTCTGGGCCTGATGCAGAGGCTGGGGAATTGGAAGCTCTCGTTATATAGCAGTTGAACAAATTAAAGCTGAGCAAATTGGTGAAGTGTCCTGAGGAAGGGATGAGTGAGCTAAGTCATTCCTTTGGTCTCTTTCAGCCTTAAAATTCTTGAATTTTAAAAGATCATACCTGTATTCTCAAAGCAAGGACTTAATTCTTAGTAGGTTCTTAGATTATCTCAAAATGTGTTCAAATATTAGATAACCATATCCTCACAGATACAGAGAACAACAGGCTGACAATTGCCAGAAGGGAAGGGCTTTGAGGGCTGCATAAAATAGGTAAAGGGATTAAGCAAAAAAACAAAAACCCAAAACAAAGAACAAACCTCATGAACACAGACAGCAGCATGATAATACCAGAAGGGAAGGGGGGTGGGAGGAGGCAGAAGAGGGTAACTGGGGGACAAATGGTGATGGATGGAGACTCGGCTTGGGGCAGAGAACACACAATACAATATACAGATGATATATGATAGAATTGTACACCGGAAACCTGTATACTTTCATTAACCAATGTTATCCCAATAAATCCAATAAAAATACCCCAGAAAAAAAGAATGATAATAACCAATTTGAAGAGAAAACAGGAGTAAAGCCCAGGAAAACTTTTAATCTGGTCGGGCTTAGATTTGATGGCTGACCAACACTAATGAAAAGAATGATTAAATAATATATGAAGAGAAACAAAAATGGGCATATAATAATAGAATCTGAATGTGAATGGATTTGAGCTCTCCTTGTTTTATAGAGGAGGAAACTAAGTCCAGTGAGTCTTTTTTTTTTTTTTTTTAACTTTCACAAGCTCTAACAGATAAAGGACAGACAGATTTGGGGTGAGGGTCTAATTCACCTGGGTCTCTTTCTGCTCTGTTTATTTTACATAAACATACTAAAAGCATGCTAAAACATAAAATATGTATGTAAAATTTTATTGTGCACAAATGTTTATATGCACACTCACTGAGATTTTAAATAGCTTTTCATTATAGTCTTTCCAGAAGAAGTTTGTCTAGCTCATAATATTTACCAAACTTCCCAAAATTTTTTCAGATGTAAAATTGCTTATCTTTTCTGCTTTCCATCTATATTTCCACCCGTCTTCTCTGCCTACTTACAAAAAATTCTTATCAAAGGCAAATGGCCTGAAGATTTCTGTATAAAGACAGATCCCAATGTAAAGGTTACCAAAACTTAGTAACAGGTAAAATAAAACCAAGATTTTACAGGTCATCTGCCTCTGAAACAATCAGCTCTATCTGAGTCACGATTTCTTTCAGATCCTAGCTGGAGACCTGCTCTTCCCATTAGTGTATGTGTGTGTGTTATACACATTTGCACATGTGAGTTCAGGACAGAGAGGAAGGAGACAACTCTACTGGAAATCTTCTATTTATAGAGGAAGAAACATGATCCCATAAATATTGATGCCCAGGAAGTCACCCAAGAGTTCAACTGTGCCTAAGATTAGATTGTTGCTAAAAACGCTGGAAAGTGTAGGTGTGAACCATTCCAACTAAGCACCACTGTTGATAAGGAGACTGCTGTTGACATAAATAAGTGATATTTGGAGTCCATAAATGCACAACTGGAAGAAGGGGGAGATAACGTCAGCCATCTCCAGGGACTTAATACCAAATTCTAATGATTGTTCTCTGTAAACTGAAGGACAGGGATTATCAGGAGTGAATTTACTTGAATGAATTCAAGGAAGTGGGGGCGGGGGTTGGTCCTGCCAGGGCCAAGCCTTCCCAGGAAGCCAGTGCCAACTCAGCTGCAGATCAGCCATCACTGGCCTGGGGCTGCCTCGGGTGAGGTGTCGTGTAAACATGCTTACCCTGATGACTACAACAGCTCCTGTCCATGGCAAGGACACATAGATTCTGATAATTAAAAAAAAAAATTAAGGCCCAGCTTGAAAGGGAAATGCTGAAAATACCATGGGGTTTGCATCAGCCCAGAAGCAGTTTTTATTTGATAAATTAATTTGACTCAGAATTGAAGCCAAATTCTGATACAATCCAACAAGTTTCTGATAAAAACTGGTGGGGAGGTTGAAATGCTAGTAATGCTAATATTAATAGCTATCAGGTATTGTGCTGAGTACTTTATATGAACTTCATAAAAACACCAAATAATTCTGGAGGATGACTAGTATAACATTACAAAATTATTTGTTATGTATCTGAAAATCAGTCTCCCACCCCTATCCCAGAGGGAACCATAGGCAACAAGGAAGTGAAGAAAAAGTATTGATTAGTTCAGCCTTCGGTCCCAAACTCCAAATGAGAATTCAACTCATTGGATCAACTTAGGCGTAGAACTCTTTTCTCCTATCCAAGAACCAGCCTAAAATCACAACTCTCAAAGCTACCCGGAGGTCAGCATCATTTGGGTAGCTTAAGTGATGCATAAGGCTGGGCCTGGGCTAGGATTTAGTGGGTTTGGGGTGGGATGGGGCACCTGTATTTTCTAATGAGCTCTTAAATGTCTTCTTTTCTCTTCCTCCTTTCCTTCTTCTGCCTCCTCCTGGTCTATCCTTTCTGCTTCCCAAAAGTGATGGCTATTTGTCTCTAGAGCAGTATTTTTCAAATAGTTTTGACAAGGCCCCATAGAATTAAATACACATTTACACAAACACACACACAATAAAACATGCACATATCATGAAATAGTTTAGCTATTCATGATAGGCCTACAGAGCTGTACCTGGGAATCACTGGTCTGAAACCCTGGTTGTGAATTAAAGTTTCCAGTTTCTGCCCATTCTGAAGACACAGCCCAAAATATACCCTCCGGTGTGGGAGGAAGAGGGCCTAAGAGGCTGAGAGAGTGAGAGAGTTTCCTCACAATGCCCAGAGCTGTCGCCGGGCCTTCCTGAGTCGGGTTTGCAGCCTCAGGCCTGGACTGCATGTGGGAGAAAGATTTTTCAGAGAGGAAGAGATCAAGGGGAAGAGCCACAGGAGGGTCAGGCATCCCATTTGGAAGCAGGCCCTGGCAGAGAGGACAGATCACAGCTACGTGCACTGAGATTGCTTCACCCTCCAAAAGCTCCAGCACCGAGACGATGGCCCAAACAGTACCCAAAAATTCACATGAAAAATTTTCCCTGAAAGTGGAAGAAATGTGGGCAAGGGGCTGGGAAGAGTGCAAGCTCCCTCTGCAATGTGGCTGCACTCCAAGAAAGTATTGGGAAATCAATTTAGTTGAATGTGATAATTTACCAAAAAACCCACAAAGAAACAAAAAAAAAACAAATAGAAAATATACAAAGGCACGTCTCAAAGAGTTAAGCTCTGTTTAATAAAACTGTTCAGTTATTTTATGTATATATACACACAGATTTTATGATATGTGTATATATACACATATATAAAGATGTGTTATGTCCATGTGTGTATACATATACACACAACACACACATACATATATACATGTTTTATTACATGTATATGTAACTATATATTTCTTCCTATGGGGCCTGGTCAAAAGTGTTGGAAAAATACTGCTCTAGAGACCAATAGCTGTCACTTTTGGAAAGCAGAGCGTAGGCTGGAGGAAACAGGACACAGAGCCGTTAAGTTTGGGGAGGCAGCCCCAGGAGAACGAGCTCTGGAGCACAGACTGCTGCCCAAAGGAAGTTAAAGCAACAGATTCAGGAGGAGTCTTGGCCAGCAGGGAGGGAGGCGGGGCATGAGTGGACTGTTGGCTTTAAGGGAGAAGGTAAATACAGGTGATATGTGTCCCTCTGCCCATTTTCCATGCTTCCCTAGAAAGCCCCAGAAAAGGTCTCTGCTGACATGTAGGCCATGTCTCTGAAAGTCAGTACCCATTCTCTCATGTTTTCCTCTTTTCTTGTAAATCAGAAAGCAAGGTGCGAAGCAGCTTTATACTAAGTTTAAAGCACTCCCAGGAAGCAAGGTCAGGGCTGGAACAGAGGGTCCAACACTGTTTCATACTGTCAATCAAAGCCATTTACTCTAGTGGTGGTTTCTTGAGTTTGGCAATTACAGTTTTTCATCTTTTCCTGTGGGGATGTGAAAGGAACGTTGAGAAGCCACAGGGAAATGATTCTTCATGTCCAATAAAACTTTTTGTAAAGTCATGTAAAAAAACTCACATAACATAAAACGTAGCATCTTAACCATTTTTAAGTGTACAGGTTCATTGGTGTTAAGTATATTCACATTGTGGTGCAACAGATTTCTAGCACTTTTTCATCTGGCAAAAACGAAACTCATACACAACAACTCCCCGTTTACCTCCCCAAGGCCCTGACAAACAACACTCTACAACACTTCCAGTTTCTATTAGTTTGACCTGTTTAGATACTTTGTACAAGGGGAATCATATAGTATTTGTCTTTTTGTGATTTGCTTATTTCACTTAACAGGATGTCCTCAAGGTTCGTCCGTATTGTAGCATGTGACAGGTCTAATTTTTAAGCCTGATTAATAGTCCATGCCTAATGAAGCCTTTGGCAGTGATGGAGGAGTTTTTGTCTACGCGGCCCACCACAGTAGCCACTGGCCTCATGTGGCTATGGAGCACTCGAGATGTGGCTAGACAAACCAAGAAACTAAATTTTTAATTTCACTTTCTTTTTTTGTTGTTTTGTTTTTTAAATTGAAACTTTAAAAAAAAGATGTTTATTTATTTATTTTTAGAGGGGAAGAGAAAGAGAAAGAAAGGGAGAGAAACATCAATGTGTGGTTGCCTCTCATGTGACCCTCACTGGGGACCCAGCCTGCAACCAAGGCATGTGCCCTGACTGGGAATTGAACCAGTGACCCTTTGGTTTGCAGGCCTGCACTCAATCCACTGAACTACACCACCCAGGGCTAATTTCACTTTTCTAAAATTAAAATTAAAATTTAGATTGCCACATGTGTCTAGTGACAACTATGTTAGACACAACGAGATTTTTTCATTCACACAAAATAACTTGGGGATAAGTGACTAATTTTGTGGCCATGACTATGTGATGAGTTTTGTCTAAATTATTCTGAAATAACCATAAACTTAAGGACAGTTTTTTTGCAAATTACATTAACTATAAAGAAGGAAATTGGCTGGATTGACTCATGATGATTTTTATGCTTACACATCCAGATTCTATCCTTATATTAATGGTTCAAAGGGTCCTTGGTTATCTTAATATTTTAGTTTTTTTCTGAGATGAAAAAGAAGCCTCAGTATAATATAAAAGGCTGGATATTAAATATACTTAGTCACATAGTTAAGCAAGTCATGATTTTACAATAATATAACCTATGCTAATGTCTATCCACTGTGCTGCACACCTGGAACTAATACAAAAAAAAGCATTGCAAGCAAACCGTAATCGAAAAATAAAAATATTTATAAATATTTTAGATTTGTAAACATGTGACACAGATAAATAGTAATTTTTATGTTTTTAGAATTATGAATTGAGTTTTATTGTCTTATTTTGGTTTATCTCTATTTTCTGTTTTTATTTTTTACAGTAAGTACTTATTACTTTGCAATAAACAACAAAATCATTCTTTTGAAAAAAAAAGAAAAAATACAAATTCACCCAGGGGAAAAAAAAGTTTGTGTTTTGTCAAATTTGATCACCCAGCAGAGAGTGCTTAAGAAATTTTTTAGTAACTTTGTAAAGACAGAAATGTACTACTTTTCAACAGGAGTGGCCATCACAGTGTCTCAAACTAGGTAGATGAAATGGAAAAGTAATTAAACACTTGGGGCTTGTGATCGGCTAAGTTAGGCACTAACATTGAGTATGCTTAAAAATTTTAGTTTGAACCACTTGTTTTTGTGCCTCAGCTTTGCATGGTACCCCACTGTCTGGTCACAGACTGTGAACCCAGCTTTTTGTGTTTGGTGCAGGAACAGCAGAGGGACCTGCTAAAGATGAGAGTTCAAGTGCTGTGGCTCATCTTTTTCTTCCGGGTCACTGAGGGCAGTGATGGCTTCCTGGGGGTAAGTTGGCTTATGTCCTGTTTTTCCTGCATACGATCTCTCCTTTCTTCTCTAGTACTTCTAGAATCCATCACTCTCTAGGCAACTGAAACTACATATGTAATAGGCAGGGAATCACAAGTTCTGGGTTCTTGTCTCAAGGTTAGCACCATTAGCTGTGTGGCCTTGGAGTTTAGCTGACCTAACTGCAAATCAAGGATCTTGTACTAAACCATCTTGGAAATCTCTTCTAGCTCAACACATTCACTCCTATAGCATCTCTGATGGAGAACAAGCATAAAGGTTGGCATTAGCAATCCTCGGACTGTCTGATCCTGATCTATATGTACTTTCTTGATGCTTTTACCTAAGGTCATGGTTTCAATGTTCTCCATAGACTGATGACTTCCAAATTTACATTTTCATCTCAGACTTCTCTCTTGAACTCCACACTCACATGCATACTACCTACTTGGTATTCCGGGTTGAGTGCCCAACAGGTGCCTCAACTTCATATGTCTCACATGAAACTCTTTATTTTTCTTCTCACCAAACCTACTCCTCATTTTCTGACCTAGCAAGTGGTATTGCCATCTCTCCAGCTACTTAGGCACAACATTTAGTTTTATGCTCGATTCTTCTCATAATCTGTAGCTAAATCATTGGCTCTTCTTTTATTTCTTTGTTTTGGCTTTATCTTTAAAATGTGTCCAGAATTTAAATGCTTCTCACCATTCCAGGGCTACTACTTTGATCCACACTTTCATTATCTTTCACAGATATTATTTCAATGATTCATGAAATAATGCTCTCATTGCTTCTGTGCTTGTCTATTCCCAATATGGCTGCAGGACAGAGCTTTCTAAAAAATAAAATATAGACCTGACTAGTGTGGCTCTGTGGGTTGGGTATCATCCCACAAACCCAAACATCACTGGTTCGATCCCCAGTAAGGGCACATGCTGGGTTGTGGGCCAGGTCCCTGGTTGGGGGGCGTGTGAGAAGCAACAGATCAATGTTTCTCTCACATATCGGTGTTTCTCTCTTTCTCTTCCTCCCTTCCTTACCACTCTCTCTAAAAATAAATAAAAAAATTTTTAATCTTTAAAAAGTAAATAAGTAAAGTACAGCACATCTTTCCTCTGGTCAGAACTCTCCAGTGGGTTGCCATCTCACTGAAGTGAAAGCTAAGCCCTTGCCACAGCCTGTAAAGATCTGCACAGCCTGCCTCCCCAGAGGTACTCTCTGACCTCACTTCTGGCCTCCTCCCCTCACCTATTCCACTCAGCTACTCTGGCCTCCTCGCTCTGTCTCCACAGGCTGGGCATGTTCTTATTCCAGGGCCTTTGCATGTGCTGTCCCCTTGGCCTAGAAAATTCTTTGTCCAGGGATTCTCACTCGTCTACCTCCTTGAGGTTTGTGTTCAAAACTCGCCATAGTAAGACCTCTTGCCACTGCTCCACCATCCCTGAGCTGGATTTTAGATGCCTGATTTCAATTCATCTGGGAAATCCAACAGGGCGTTACAAAGCCCTGCCATAGTTATTCTTTTTGTCTTCTTACCAGAGAAATGATGGCATCAGAACAAGAAGAGGACTCGTTGTGAATAAGAAAAAGCACCCAGGTGAGAATGGGGTTCAAACCCAGTAGTGCATCTGACTGGCTGTATGATCTTTGGTATATTATTCAACACCCCAAATCAGCGAAATGAGAATAACAATAATTCCGACTAGTAAAACATTTGTGAGGGTTAAACAATATAATGAAGGCATAGTATTCTCCACCATATCTGTCAAGTAGCTGCTCCATAGTCTTCCTCTCCTCCTTTATCTTGTTCCCAACAATGTAATTAATGGGCACAGCCTTCAGTCTGTGGTCTGGTATTTCATTCGTGTGTCTGATGTTTCAATCACTGAAGGTGTTTTCTCTTGGAAACAGTGATGCACACAGATGGTCCTTAGGTTCCTGGGTCAGTTTACAAGCCTTTCTTTGGTGAATTTGCTGAACAGTGGTGTGCCAATAGTGCCATAGAACTTAGCCCCATTCATGGCTATAGTTCTTTAGGAAAATAAAAAAAATTAATTTGGAATGCCATGAATACCTTTTCTCTGATAGTAATAACATGGCTAGTATTTATTGATTTGTTACTATGTGCCATGCATCATTTTAAATGCATTGGATGAATTAAACCCTCACACTGACCCTTTGAGTTAGATACAATGGTCATCTTACAGAGTGTGAAATTGAGGTACACAGCCAGGAGGTAGCAGGCATGCTTCAGGCCAGAGGGCAGGGGAAGGTGAAGAGAAGGGTGGTGAGGGCTGTCTTACCTCTTCTCCCTTCAGCCTTGACACGTGAAACTCTCCTCTGGATGTGTCCTGAGGAAGTGTGTCAAGTCAGGAGGGTGAGGCAGGGGTGGGTCAGAGAGTGTGGGAACAGCTGGCCTGACAGAAACAACAGGGTGAACATATGTCAGGCACATGTGGGACAGTCTGCATATGCTTGTCATAGACACTCATTTTTAGTCAATGTCTGGATGGGCAGAAGTCAGTGACAGGCAGTATGGCATCATCCACGACCTCCAGGCTGAATCTGATGACTGCCCCATGGCCCCTTTCTCTGCAGTATTTCCCTCCTAGACTGAGAAGGAGGCTTCTGACTATCTTCTCCCTTTAGACCCAGCGCAGGAATATGAGCTGCTTCTTCAGGTGGCTTATAGAAATTCCAAGGAGAAAAGAGAGTTGAGGGATGTTTTGAATCTTCTGAAGCCTCCGTCATTGTGGCTGCATGGGCCAATGAAGATTATCGGAGCAAAGGCAACCACCCGTAAGTCAGCTTTCTGGGGACTGAGAGTGGAAATGGGGAAGGTGGGCATGTCAGTTGGGGTAGGGTAGGTTATGTTGTGAAAACAATCGTCTCTGCACCATCTGTGGCTTACAAGAATAAATGTTTTGTTTCTTCGTGCTACATGTCCATTACAGATTGCAGAGGGGCTGAGTTTTCGGTGGTCCCTTGGGGACCCAGGCTGATGAATCAGACACCATCTCAGATATCCCCACTTAGAGACAAAAAGGGAAAAAAGGAGCGCTGGAAGGCTTGACATTGGCAGTTCACTTTTCTAACTCAGGAGTGACACACACTAATTCTGCACATGACTTACCGGTGAGAACTGGTTTTATGGCCCCAGTCAGCCTCAGAGGCCAGGTTATGCAGTCCTGGAAGAGAGCACGTGATACCTGGCAAACAGCGCTAATGACCAGGGAAGTTTAATGATTTGTTGAAAGCAAGGGTTCTCAAAAAGTGTGGTGCCCAGTCCAGCAGCAACAGCAGCAGCATCAGGGCTCCTTCCTTCCAGCTTTTGATGAGAACTCCCTGATTCAGAGTCTAAGTCAGAACCGAGGATCAGAATTCAGCAGTAGTCAAATTATTTACCAGGCCCCATGAAACCAAGCTCTATTTTTTGTGCAGACTGCAGCAACCAGAACGGGTTCCTACAGTGTGCCTGTGAAGATGGCTATTCCTGGTTTCCTCCTTCCTGCCTCGATCCTCACAAATGCTATCTTCACACGACAGGATCACTCCAGAGTTGCGACTGTCATCTCAGTAACCTCACCCAGAGTGTCGATTTCTGTGAGAGAACGAGTAAGCACATGAGGATACCAGGAGGGGAGCCCTGGGCTGGGGCCTCTCCCACCCCAACATGTGACAGAAGGGGGGACTCTAGCTCTTTGTCTGTATGTTTCTCTGTCTCCCTGAGCAGAGCTAGTGTTTGCAGGGAGGGTGAAGGGCAGAGATGACATACTGTGCTAGGTTTGGCTGGGCACAGAGAGAGCTGTGCTAGTGCCTAAAATTCAGAAATGCAAGTTGATCTTTGGGCACCACTTCAACCTAGCTCCAGCTCAGCTCTGCATAGCTACGCTTCTTTTGAGATTTAACAAGATTCACTGAAATCCCAGGTTGGGAAACTGCTTGAGTAAATGCAGTTTTTCTTCCTACCTCATTTCAACTCTTTCATCAACATCAATTTTCAGAACAGAGAAGTCCAGCAGTATAAAAGCAAGGAGGAATGCATAGCGGTTGTATTGAAGGCAATGCTCTAAATTGCCAACAAATATGTGTACTGAATGCAACGCCAAAACAAAAGTCAAAACTATAGCCTTAGTAACCAGTGGAAGCTGAGGGAGCTCCTGTCGACTTAGGTTTATGTTCGATGAATGATGTGGTGAGCTCAATGGCATGGGCTCAGGGCTTGAAAGACTTGAAGTTTTCCAGAAACTAGTCCAGTTATCCCGAAACTCTGGATTTTGGTAGAGCTGAGCAAAGAGTAAGGGAGGACCATCAATAGCCCAGTTTTTGAGGGTGGCCCTGGCTCCCCTTCCTTCCCAGGACTGCCGCAATTCAGGTTAAGGCAACATGTATTTATAAGTATCATCTTTATAGTCAGAGCTGGACAAATTCTGGGAGGTCACAGTGAGCCATTTCTCTTGCTGTCGATGAATTAGCAGGCTACGTGGAAAGGCCAGGATGTTAACACAAGAAAGAAGAGCATGTAATTTCTTCAGCTGTGTGGATGAAAGCTACCATTTGAAAGGTGGTCCATGTCTGGTCCATCTTCTAGAGATACAAAGATGGAGCAGACAGGAATAACACCGATAAGGAGCCTTCCAGAGTAGAATGGGGACACACATCCATGAAACATGGTCACAAATAGTTGTGTAAGTACAAGAAGCTGTAAGGCAGCTATTGCAGGAATTTAAAGGAGGGAGAGACTCTGTCTGGAGTCAGGGAAGGCTTTGGAAAGGAGGTGCTTTTACCAGGCCCTGAGTGAAGGATTGAGAAGACATGCCACACTAAGATGGGGAATGATCTGCCCCAGTGCAGAAAGACCCCAGGGACAGGTAACAAGGGGTGTGTTGGAGTTAACGAGTAGTGATTTTTTTGTTTGTTTTTAAAATTTTTTAATAGGGTGATGTTTAAGCTCTGTGAATAGATGAGGATATATTTCAGTGTTAAGACTGCTTTTTAAAGTCATGCATGAGTGGCCACAGGTTTTCTACTTCCAAGGTCATCTGGGTTCCAGCACTTTCCCATAATGTTCCAAACCACAGCTAAGAATTCTTGTTGTGTGCTTTCTTTATCGCTTTAGGTGGACATTTGTTACATAAATACATCAAAAGACCAATGATGTGGAATAGATGGGTTCCAAACTGTACTTCTGTAATTTTATGCTATAATAGAATGAAATGAGTAATTTTTATATCTACATATTTTTTTATTTCCCATAGAAGTTTGGGGCACTTTCAAAATTAATGAAAGATTTACAAAAGACCTTTTGAATTCATCTTCTGCGGTATACTCCAAATATACCACTGGAATTGAAATTCAAGTAAGCACCTTCTACTTATGGCATAAAAAATTGTTGGCTAAACATACGTTCAGATGTTTTCAATTCAACATGTTTATTCAATACATATTCTCCATTATTCCTTTTCATTGGGCTATTACATAGTAGCTAATCGCGCTGCCCACAACTGATGCACTTTGAACATTTTCTCTCTGGGAGAGTTTAACAGTTGAATCCTGTTCATTTCTTTTGTGTTCAGTTTTGTTCATTTACTTGAATAATATTGAGCCAAGGCTTCTTGATTATTTTCTGTTTTTATATTTGTCCAAAGAAATTTTTCATGATCTAAGCTCGAGGGTCAGCATCTGGAATTGGTTCTGTAAAGAACCCGCTCTCCTTAGAGGCTGAAGAGGATTCCTGGGCAAAATCCTGGGCTTCCTCGTGAAGTCACATAGAACTGGACTGGAGCACCTCAGCCTGGGAGGGTGGGCCAGGTGAGGGTCTAGCTGAAGACGTGCACAGAGGCTTGGCAGATAGATTCCGTTTAGGCATCTATAAAAAGGCTTGTTTGTGGGGAGGATAAAATAACTTTTGGATAAATTTATTACTTTATCTGGCATTCAATTCATCTTGGAGTCTAAGCAGTTTATTTTTCATTTTTTAATCAGCAACCTCAAAAATAAATTATTTGCGTGTACGTTCTTAATGGTTATTTTATAATGTACAACTACCTCCTGCTGTATCTCTTTTCCTTTCCTGAGTGCTTCTGCTGGTTTATTTATTGTCTGCATCCATGTTTCGCTCAATTTTTTTCTTGTGTGGGAACAAAGATCAACATATTGCCCCCTTCTCTCTCTTTTTTTTTTTTTTTGTAAGCTTAAAGAAACATACAAAAGAATTCGAGGCTTTGAGTCAGTTCGCGTCACTCAGTTTCGGTAAGTAACACAATGCTTAAATCCAGGGCACTCCCAGGTTTTGTGCACCAGCCCCACAGAATGTGCCTCGTGCTGTTGCCAAGTGTCTCTGACAGAAAATAGGTCAGATGTAGTGGGATTCTTACCAAAACTGGACAAAAGTCTCATGCTTTAAAAAGTGTGAAAAGGAAAGCCTATATTCTCATATAAATGGGTTTAGAAACTTAAAATATTAAATGGCATTCTCAAAGCTCTGGATCAGAGAATAGAATAGAAAACCCCCAGTAGTGGGGCAGAAGTTAGAAGGAAGCAGGAGACCCTAGTTTGGAAGGAGTGAGGGGTGGGGATGAGGGTGGTGGGGGGATGGACTTTCTTCTTCCATGACCACAGCGGGCATCCTGTGCAATTGGGAGCCAGAGGGAGGCTTCAGATCAAATAGGGTAGCTTTGTGTACATACCATGTATATGCCATAGTCCAAAAGCCCACAGTCATTGTCTACAGCAAATAAAGAGATATTTAGTAAATCATCCTTTTGTTTATACTTTAATTCCAAAGTTACTTGGTTAGTTAACCATGTGTGTGTTGATTACCAACTATTTATAGTCTGCTTGAAAGAGGGAATGGCTTAAAAGTCAGAGAACTTGACTTCCTATATGATTTTTTTCACACTTAACTTGAACAACAACTACAGGAAATTTTTAGCATCATTTGCTATAAATATGTTGTCCTGGATATTATCCTTTAGTTACTCATGACCTTATAATTTCTTTATAATCAAGGCCCACATGTATAATTTTCTTTAAAATCCAATGATGGGAAAAACACAACTTCTTTTCTTAAATTGAGTCTATATAATTAATCATTTTCCTCTTAGACTTTACTGTCATTAAACTCATAGACAAAATGAAAACTCAATCACAGTAATTTTTATATTCCATACTCATATTTTTCTTTTTTTTAAAACTTTTTTATTGATTATGCCATTACATTTGTTCTATTCCCCCCCTCCATTCCCCTCCACCCTGCATATCCCTCCCCCACCATTTCCCCCTTTAGTTCATGAACACGTGTCTCAAATTCTTTAGATTCTGTATTTCCCCTACTATTCTTACCCTCCCCCTATTTTCTATCTACTGTCTATGCTACTTATTTTCTGTACCTTCTCCCCGCTTCTCCTCCTCCCACTCCCCTGTTGCTAACCCTCCATGTGATCTTCATTTCTATGGTTCTGCTCCTGATCTAGCTGTCCTCTAAGTTTGCTTTTGTTTTAGGTGTGGTTGTTACTAACTGTGAGTTTGCTGTCCTTTCACAGTTCATCTTTTTTATCTTCTTTTTCTTAGGTAAGTCCCTTTAACATTTCATATAATAAGGGCTTGGTGATGATGAACTCCTTGAATTTGATCTTATCTGAGAAGCACTTTATCTGTCCTTCCATTCTAAATGAAAACTTTGCTGGGTAGAGCAATCTTGGATGTAGGTCTTTGGTTTTCATGACTTGGAATACCTCTTTCCAGCCCCTTCTTGCCTGTAAGGTCTCTTTTGAGAAATCAGCTGACAGTCTGATGGGAACTCCTTTGTAGGTGACAGTCCCCTTATCTCTTGCTGCTTCTAGGATTCTCTCCTTCATTTTAATCTTGGCTAATGTAATGATGATATGTCTTGGTGTGTTCCTTCTTGGGTCCAACTTCTTTGGGACTCTCTAAGCTTCCTGGATTTCCTGGAAGTCTATTTCCTCTGCTAGAATGGGGAAGTTATCCTTTATTATTTGTTCAAATAAGGTTTCCACTCGTGACTCTTCCCCTTCTGGTACCCCTATAATTCGAATGTTGGAACGTTTAAAGATGTCCTGGAGGTTCCTAAGCTTCTCATCATTTTTCTGAATTCTTATTTCTTCATTCTTTTCTGTTTGATCATTTTTATCTTCCTCTGGTCCACTCCCTTGATTTGAGTCCCAAACTCCTTTTCATTACTATTGGTTTCCTTTGTATTACCATTCATTTCAATTAGTTTAGCCTTCATATGTTTCTCTAATTTGTGACTAAAATCAACCAGTTCTGTAAGGATCCTGATAACCAGTGTTTTGAACTGTGCATCTGAAAGACTGGCTATTTCTTCATCACTTAGATCGATCGGTTCTGGGGCTCTGAGTTGTCCTAGAGCCATTTTTGGTCTATTCGTGCCGTTAAGTAAGCGGAGCGAACGGAGCCTTAGTTGTTTACCAGACGGGGCGACCCAGGTCGCTGGTTTGTGACGCTGTGTGTGGGGGCGGGGTCAGAGAGGGAGCAATGGCGGTCCTCTCCGCTAGCCTGGTCCGTCCAGTCACACCACTCGCCCCGGGCCTGTTTATCCAATCGGAATTGTGCGAGCCTGCTGCCCCGCGCCGGCTCCCCTCCTCACTGGTTTATCTGCACGCAGATGCGCGACTGACCGCAGACAGCCCGCCGCGCCGCACCTCTTCCCTGTGTGCTCCTGTAGCTAGCCCGCGGTCTGCGCCTTCGGCTGCTCGCGCACCACCCGTTCGGGGATTTTTTCTTGCCAACCTGCTCCGCTGCTGGCTTCGCTCCTCTTACCGGTTTAGCTGAGCATTTCGTTGTCTTCGGACTCCGTATTGTCGATTTTTTGTGTGGCTTGGTTGTGTTTATTGTTGTTAAAAATAGTTGTTCTTAGATTTGGTTGTGCACAGAGGCAAGGTGGTTCCACCTACACCTCCATCTTGGCGGAAGTCCTCCATACTCATATTTTTCTTTTCTGTGGTCCTGGTTTTCCATTTATACTTTTAATGTGTATTCCATCATATATATTTTATAAGCTATCTCCAATAATTTGTAGTAAAAATCACTGTTAGGATAAGCAGTAAGTCTATAAAATGCAACTATGTAGGGTTTTCAATTTACTATATGATTTAATTTCACACTGTCTCATTTATCTGTCGAACAGGACTGTTAATACTTGTGGAACCTGATTTATCCTCATTAAATCAAATGAAATAAGTAGGCAGGAAAATACTAGCTCAGTTGATTAGAGCATTGTTGTAATACATCAAGGTTGTGGGTTTGTTCGCTGGTCAGGGCACATACAAGAAACAACCAATGAATGTGTAAATATTCACATTCATTGTGAACAACAAATTGGTGTTTCTCTCTCGTTCTCTCTTTCTCCCTCCCTCTGTCTAAAATAAGTAAGTTTTTTTCTCTTTAAAACAAAGGATATAATAAAAGGGCCATATCAATGCAAAGATATTATGACTATCATTACATAAAAAGGCATTTGGATTTATTTATACATTGTGAGTGGTAACTCAATGTTGTGATTAAGAATTTGAACTTTGGGGTGTCAGAAATTCTAATCCAATCAATTAATTATTAATAATTACCTGACTCAACTTCTCTTTGGGACTCAGCTCCCTTATCTCCAAAATGGGGACAATACAGTGTTTATCTCATGAAGTTACTACAGAATTAACTTAATTAATGTATGTAATCTCACTCGCTTTCATGACTTCAAACACTCTTTCTAAGCTGATGGTTTCTAAGTGTATTACTCAAGCTTGGCCTCTCTCCTAAACTTTGGACCCAGATGTCCAACTGCCTATCATCATCTCCACTAGATGTGCTAGTAGGCACGCCAAACGTAATGTGTCAAAAATGGTGGTCCTCCAGCTGGTCTCCTCATAACCTTAAACCTACTTCTCCCATCTTGGTTACAGTGGTGCCATTTTCCCAGTTGCACAGACCCAAAGCTTGGAGTCATCCTGAAACTTTTTATGGAGGTATAAATTACATCCAGTGGTGTGTTCTGACCTTAAATATACAGATTAGTAAACTCTCACCAATGCTTGTAGAAGCTACCTTCTATCAAGACAAAACTTTTCCATCCCTCCTAAAGTTCCCTTGTGTCTCCTTCCAGCCAATCTCCATGCCCACCCCTACCCCTACCAGAAACTACCACTAATCTTATTTCAGCCAAGATGGGCTAGTTTTGCCTCATGTAGAACCTCACATAAATGGAATCACCCAGTGCACAGTATTTGGGCATCTGGCTTCTTTCATTCAGCATAATGTCTTTGAGATTCACCCTGTTTTGTTTTTTTTTTTGAGTATCAGCGCTTCCTTCCTTTCATTGCCCAGTAGCACCCCAGTTATGAAGTACTACAATGGGTCCATTCCTTGCAGTCATCCTTGACTAGTGTCTTTCTCCCCTACCTGAAATCTGCTCCATTAGCAGTTCCTACATCTTCAAACACAACAGGAATCCAGCAACTTCTCCTACATGCACTGCTACCCAACTAGTTCTTGATATCATCTCCTCTCTCCTAACTAGTCTTTCTGCTTCCCTTCTTGCCTTCATTCAGTCTATTTTCTACACATCAGCCAGTGTAATGATCTTAAACAACAAATCTGATTGTGTCACTGACTTTTAATAAAGAATAAAACATTTTAATAAAAAATAACATTCAAACTCTAGGGCCCTCTGTGATCCAGTTCCTGGCAACCCCTCTAACATTATCTCCTACCCATCACCCTTTTGCCCGTTATTTTTTGTTTTGACTTTTGACTTAAATTGATATATTCAATTCTTAATTTATTTTCACCTGGGGTTCTTAAAATCCACATTGAAACCTTCAGTCATTGAGAAAGAATCCCAATTCTTTTTTTAAATTTATATTTAGAGAGAGAGGAAGGGAAGGAAAGAAACACCAATGTGTCATTGCCTCTAGTGTGCATCCAAGTGTAGACTCCGCCTGCAACCCAGGCATGTGCCCTGACTGGGAATCAAACCAGCAATAGTTTGGTTCACAGCCCAAGCTCAATCCACTGAGCTACGCCAGCCAGGGCAATCCCAATTCTTGACTTGACATCTAGTCTTTAAATCTTTCAAGCTCATAGATATTTTCCTGCCTTGGGCCCTTCCATGTGCTGGCATGTTGCCCCAACAGTCTTTGCACTACTAGCCTTTTCTTCTCATTATTCAGGCCTCAGCTGCAAAGACCTTCTGCACAGAGAGGCCTTTCCTGACCAGTCTTATTTAAAGAGGGCCTCACATCTACATGCTATTCTTATCATTGTACCCGACTCCCATAACACTTAACAAAACACAATATATGTATTATATAACTGTATAAATACTTATACGCAGTGGTTACTTGTTTCTTATTTGCCTTGCCTTCTCTGGCAGAATGTAAATTGCATGAAAGCAGGGGCCAAATATGTTTGATATATGTTTACGGATCAAATGCCATGCACACACTGAGTAGGCTCTGACTGACTGAATGAATGAATCTCACTTTTCTTTCTGTGTAATCATCACAGAGATGGAAGCATCATTGTTGGGTATGAAGTTGTTGGCTCCAGCAGTGCATCTGAGCTGCTGCCAGCCATTGAGCGGGTGGCTGAGAAGGCTGAGGAAGGCCTTCAGAAGCTGTTTCCACTAGAAGACGACTCTTTCAGAGTATTCAGAGAAGGTAACCCTAAATTTCCACCCTCTGTTTAGCTTTAGGGAGTCCTTTAGTTGGTAGCTCATTTGTGTCTTTAGGAAGTAGATTGGACAAGTTTCTGATACAGAATTATTTTAAGACTGACTTTCAGTAAAAATGGGCCACTGTTTACCATGAAATTCAATTTCAGCTGACTAATTTGGACCCTCGCTAATCAGTGATCTGATCTCCACTATAAATGTTGTGGAAGATTGATTTCACTGCAGCCTACGATGGAAATGACTCAGCAATAGTTTACTGGTACACATGTTGAAATATCCCTGGGGCTGGCAATATTCCTGAGTAATAGTCCAGAAGCCAAGGAAAGAATGCATATATCTTCACATCTTTAACACTCACACAGACACACAAACCCACAGAGACACAAAGACACACACACCGCTTCCTTTCTTCAGGTATCTTTTTTTCCTCTGTTTCTTCTTTACATTCAGTCTTAAACCTCTCATCAAAATTTGTGCCACTTTCAACAGCACTTATTCAACAAATATTTACTAAGTGTTTAAAGTATCTAGGCACTTAGGACACAGCAGTAGGGGAAACACGGGAAAAAGCACAGCTTTGGGGGTCTTCCATTCAAGGTCCCCTCCCAGTCCCGATCATGGGAAGACTGTATTATTAAAGGCCAGCTGCAAGAGTAACTAGTGTTTTGGTCACAATGTGGAAGCTTTTAAAGGGGTACAATGTAGGACATGCCACCCCCAAATGGTAACTGTCCATCTTTTAACCATATTGTTACTGATTTGTTCCATAGTGTTTGGAAGACTTTCTGGTTTTCTCCCACTCCCTTAAAGAGTAAAAATATTTCCTGGGAGGGGTTACACCCTGTCTTATTTTCACCGAATATTAACACACACTAGTTGATAGCCCACTAAAGGTAGGATTATTGGCACGGATCAGACATCCGGAGGGAGAAGGGCCAGCCTCACAGAGAGTAGGGCATGAGGAAGGAGAAGAGGATGCTGAAAGGCATGGAGCTGAGTATCAAAGTTAAGCTTTTCCTACTCTTGAATTTTGCTGGGTATTGCATCTGGAATATGATTTCTAAAGCATAGCTTTATGATTTATAGAGAATGCCAGGATATTCACAGACATTTTTTTTCTCTCTGCTTCATTCTTTTCCAGTTCAGTGTAACAGCATTGTTTTTGGATTTGGGTTTAAAAATGATGAATATACCCTTCCCTGTAGCAGTGGCTACACTGGGAACATCACAGCCAAGTGCCAGCCTTCTGGGTGGCAGGTCATTAGGGAGACCTGCGTGCTCGCTCAGCTGGAAGAACTGAAGAAGGTAAAGCATTTTCACCGTGTAGACTTGCCCTGGTTTTGTGTTTCACCGTGGGTACCTCCCGCTGAGCACGGCTAGATGGAGAATAATATACATCTATTTGTCTCATTTATAAATGTGCAGAAAGCAAGGGAGACATCAGACCCTTGTAAACTCAAGAAGTGTGGGCATGAGTGACAGAGTTGAAGTGGCAGCTGAGAAGCTCAGACAGTGTCCGAGCTGATGGTTTTGGCAGGGAGAGGTGCTGCAGTTGACTGAAGCCTTGCTGAAGAAGTCTGTAATAGATGGTGGAAGTCCAGGAAGCCTGGGAATCAAAGACCCATGTGAGTCAAAAGTTACAGACTTAGTACAAATGAGAATGTACACATATCAGAAACCAGGGCAGGCTGTGGGGTCAGCCAGAGGTGAGCCACATAGAATGATAAAACTGCAGTGGATCTTAAGCGTCATCTGTCTTATCAAACTCCTGTTACAGATTAGGAGATGAAGGACTAAATGGCTAACAGTTGGTCCCTCTGATAGCAATAGTGTTGGAGTAGAAACATGGTCATTTGATTCCCTGTCCAGTGCTGTGACCTTCACACAATGTTCTCTTTGGAAGGTTCAAGGACTTAAGACGAGGCAGGTAGATAGGAACACATGGTGAGGAATTAGAACCCAAGTTGTAGAAAAAACTAGTTCACAGTACTGTTCTGCAAATAGAGCTCCCTGTTAGGCAGACTTCTGTCCCAGCCAGAGTCTCTGCTATTGCAGTACAGAACATCACAATGGTATTCATTAAAAGACTGTGGAATGTTCACTTCTCCCTCTTTGGACCTCAGTTTTCTCACCTGTAAACTGGGCAGGGAGATTGGACCAGACGGATTCTGTGGTCCATCCTTGCTCTTGCCTTCTTTGCCTCAGTTATGCACATGGACCGTGTCTATTGAGGGCATGAGGGTGAGGGCAGGCAGATCCTAGGTACCCTAGGCAAAGAACAGCATTGTCAGCCAAGAAGAGCAGAAAGGAAACCATATAGGATCTGGGTTCCTTGATCAACTTGTTTTGACTGGAAAGGCATTTCCCTTTTTGACAGCCTTCCAAGCTGTCCCAGAGTGGAGGAAGCAGATGGGCACTTCAAGGAAGAAGTAAAATTCCAAACCCAGTGACAAAGTGGAGTCAATCTCCACACATGTCCCTCTATCTTCCCATCCTCAAGCATTTCTCAGAATAGCAGTGTGAATATAACAGGGTTTAGTGCCACTTTCTAGCTGGGTGCTGTTTGGAAAGTCACTGAATCTCACCGAACATCAGTCTTCATATAATCAGGACAATAACTTACATGAAAATGCCTTTAAACAAATCTCGTCAAGTTTCCAGTTCCTTAATGGCATCTGCTTCAAAGGGTGGTGTGAGGATTAAATCAAGGAATTCCTTGATTTAATAGTGTAAAACATGTAACGCAGAGAGTACCAGCTCTGAAACACAGAAAGCCCTCAGTAACAGCTATTGTTATCATCGTTACGTAGTATTTCACATTGTAATGTTACAAATGTTAGTGATGTGGCCAAGCAACCCCGCTTACATCTGATGGACCACAAGCATATGTATTTCTTAAAGAACTGGACCATCTTTTTCCTAGAATTTCAGTGTGATCACAAGCAATGCCACTGAGACAGCCATGTCATCCGTGGTGCAAAATCTCTCAGTCATCATTCAGCAAAACCCACCAACCACAGCTGGGAATCTGGCTTCAGTGGTGTCGATTCTGGGCAATGTCTCCTCTCTGTCACTGGCGCGCCACTTCAGGGTGTCCAATTCTACAATGGAGGTATGGCCTGCTCGTGCTTGAAGGGCCCACTTTATTTATTACTGCTACTATTTAATATTTTGTTTTAATTATTTAATTATAATTGACATTCAATATTATATTAGTTTCAGGTATACAGCATACTGTTTAGACATTTATATAACTTACAAAGTGATTTTCCTGATAAGTCTAGTACCCATCTAACACCGTATCATAATGTCGTTATCATAATATTATTAACTATATTCCCTATGTTGTACTTTATGTACCTGTGACTATTTTGTAACTGCCAATTTCTACTTCTTAATCCCTTCACCTTTTTTATCTACTCCCACAAATCCCTCCCACCTGGCAACCCTCAGTTTGTTCTCTGTATCTATGAGTTTGTTTCTGTTTTGTTTGTGAATTTATTTTGTTTTTTAAATTCCACAAATAAGTGAAGTCATATGGTATTTGTCTTTCTCTGTCTGACTTATTGCACTGAGCATAACACCTTCTAAGTCCATCCATGTTGTTGCAAATGGTAATATTTCATTCTTTTTTATGGCCAAGTAGCATTCCATTTTATATGTGTGCCACATCTTCTTTATCCAACAGTCTCTTGTTGGACACTTAGGCTGCTTCCATGACTTGACTATTGTGATTAGTGCCACAGTGAACATAGGGCTGCATACATCTTTTGAATCAGTGTTTTGGCTTTCCTCAGATATATACTCAGAAGAGGGATTGCCGGGTCATATGGTAGTTCTAGAGTTAATTTTTGAGGAACGTCCATGCTGCTTTCCACAGTGGCTGCACCAGTCTGCAGTCCATCAACAGTGCATGAGGGTTTTGAAGGGCCCGCTTTAATGCTTTACCTCATGGGGGAATGACAAAAGCCTGAGTTGGGGGAAACTTTTGAAAAAGACTGAAGAGCCATGCAACAGTCTTTACATGAATTTTTTTTTACTGCATCCTCTGCATGTACGAAGAACTCATGAAATCTATTCTGCAAGTTCAAAGGAACAGGAGCATCCTCTGGGGAGGCTGGCTAGACAGCAAGCTGGCTTAGAGAAAGGGATGAGGCTCTGCACCCGATGACGCTGTGTGACACAGCTGCCAACTCTTTTATATCTGTTTGCAGCCTACAATTGTTCTGTCCTGGGGCCACAAACTCTGACTTTAGCCATGTATATTTTTTAAGGCTTCCTTTGTTTTGACTGGGAAATTTATACTTTGGTTAGAATCTTTTAAAATTAATTTAAAATTATAGGAATAAGAATTGGTCACTAAAAGAGATGCAAATAAGCAAATGGAAAAAAATCTGTAATCTGGTCACTCTAGAATAGACACTGCCTGCATTTTAAATATTCCATCAGTGCAGGTGCTCAACAAACATTTATTAAGTAAAATGTCCTCTGAAACATTTTGGATGTATGCATTTTATGTTAAAGTACATGATATTTTGCCCTGGCCATTGTGGCTCAGTTGGTTGGGTGTGGTCCCACAAAACGAAAGGTTGCGGGTTTGGTCTCCAGTCAGGGCACATGCTTAGGCCGTGGGTTCAGTTCCTGGTTGGGTTACATATATGAGGCAACAGACTGATGTTTCTCTGTCACATTAATGTTTTTTCCCTCTCTTTCTCCTTCCCATCCTCTCTCTTAAAAGTATGTAATATTTTGCCAAATTGAATTATATAATGTCAGACATGACATTAAATATGATCAGTTATGCTCCCTGGATCAAATAAAAGATGCTCAGATTATTTTTAAGAGTTTAACCACGTGTTGTTTGCAAGAGATCAACTAAAACAAAATGACATAAAAAGGCTAAAAATTAATTAAAGAGCAAAATAGAGAGGAAGACACAAACCAAAAGGAGGCAGAGGTTCCTGAAGGTAGTAGAAGAAACGAACTATGGGATTCTGGTCCAGAAGCCACGGAGGGCTCAGTTAGGGTAGCGCAGGGTCAAAGTGACAGACATTTGCAGCCGAATGCCTGGGAACCAGGCTCCTGAGAGGGTAGAGGATTGTGAGGGATACAGGGATTGTTTTCAAGCACTGGTTTGGAAAAGGAATCTCTCAAACTAAGACTGATTCTTAAATCAATACTTCAATACTTCCTTGTTGCTTGCCTGCAGTTTTTTAAAGGTTTTTACTTATATTCTCTCCTCTATTAAACAAAAATAATAAATACACATGAATTAAAACTTGAAAGTCCATGACATGACTTTAGAATTCCTGATGTTAGCAAAAACCAGCCTAACATGGGAAAGTCATAAGCAGTAACGTGCCCCTGTGAGCCAAAGAACACTGCAGCCGTGTTTGCTGCCACAGGAGCCGGAAGCGCACACTGCGGCAGCCCAGTCCTGGGCTTCTTCCTCATCCATGCTCACACCCCTGTGTGCACATGAGCGCCCTGGCGTGATCACCCAGGAACTTACATGATCCTGTTGACCCAAGTTTCTTAACCCAAAGCTTCCACTGTGCAGAGCAACTGAGCTGAATTCCACTGATGAGTTTTAACATGATCCTCAACTGAGCCAATTCTCAAGGCAATTTTCTTGTGCTTAGTACGAATGACTACCCACAGTTAGTCTTCTTACCCATTTACTCAAAATACAAACTGACTGTTCATTCTTGCATTTCAGGATGTCATCAGTATAGCTGACTACATCCTTAATTCAACATCCATAACCAACTGGACAGTTTTACTGCAGGAAGAAAAGCTCATCAGCTCACAGTTACTAGAGACGTTGGAAAACCTCAGCGTTCTGGTGCCTCCAGCAGCTCTGCCTCTGAATTTTTCTCGGGAATTCATTAACTGGAAAGGGATTCCAGTGTCTGAAAGCCAACAGAAGACAGGTTACAGCTACCAGACTGACATGTTCCCCCCAAATTCCTCCATTCCCGTCAGAGGCAGAGTGTTAATTGGGTCAGACCAATTCCAGCGGTCCCTTCCAGAAACTATTATCAGCATGGCCTCACTGACCCTGGGGGACATTCTACCCATTACCCAAACTGGAAATGCCCAGGTCAATGGGCCCGTGATCTCCACGGTTATCCAAAACTATTCCCTAAATGAAGTTTTCCTGAGTTTTTCTAAGATAGAGTCAAACCTGAGCCAGCCTCATTGTGTGTTTTGGGATTTCAGTCATTTGCAGTGGAATGATGCAGGCTGCCACCTAGTGAATGAAACTTCAGATATGGTGATGTGCAGGTGTACTCACCTGACCTCGTTCTCCATGCTGATGTCACCTTTTGTCCCCCCCACCATCATCCCGGTTGTGAAATGGATCACCTTTTTGGGGCTGGGCATCTCCATTGGAAGCCTCATCTTATGCCTAACCATCGAGGCTGTGTTTTGGAAGGAGGTCAAGAAAAACCAAACCTCGCACACACGTCATATTTGCATGGTGAACATAGACCTGTGCCTCCTGATTGCTGATGTTTGGTTTATTGTTGTTACCACTGTGGACACCACAGTCAACCCTTCTGGAGTCTGCATAGCTGCAGTGTTCTTGACATACTTTTTTTACCTCTCCCTGTTCTTTTGGATGCTCATGCTTGGCATCCTGCTGGCTTATCGGATCATCCTCGTGTTCCATCACATGACCATGCCTTTGATGATGGCTATCGGGTTCGGCCTGGGCTATGGGTGTCCTCTTATTATATCTGTCATCACCATTCTGGTCATACAACCTAACAATGGCTACAAAAAGAAAGGCACGTGTTGGCTCAACTGGTCCGATGGGAGCAAGTCCCTCTTGCCGCTTGCTGTTCCTGCACTGACTATCGTGGCTGTGAATTTGGTTGTGGTGCTCTTAGTTCTCACAAAGCTCTGGAGGCCAGCTGTTGGAGAGAGACTGAGTCAGGACCACAGGGCCACTATCATCCGCGTGGGGAAGAGCCTCCTTGTTCTGACCCCTCTGCTGGGGCTCACCTGGGGCTTTGGCATAGGAGTAATGGTGGACAGCCAGAGTGTGGCATGGCATGTTATTTTTGCATTGCTCAATGCATTCCAGGTGAGGACAATAAGAATAACCTATTATCATACCATCAGCTAACTGGAATAATTATAGAGAACTGAGGTTGGTAAGACAACTCCAGAGGCTATCTTATTTCCCTGCCTCCAGTGGGACTGTAACCAAAACTGCCTGGCAATAGGGAATGGAAAAAAAAAAACAGATGCATTTTCCCAACAGTTATTGTCATACTGAGGCAGAATATTAGCCTTCTTCAGTAATCCATTCTAAGGTTTTAAATCTGCTAGACCTCACATAGCTAATGTTCATCTCTCTCGCTGCTGATTCAGTCCTCCTTCTCTAGTGCAGACTTATGTAAAAGTGCACACGGAAAGGGAAATAGATCAAGAGGACTTGTTGACTCTGAATGGTGCAAAGGTAGTCCTCAAAGTGCAATAGAGCAGAAGCTGGTATTGGCCAGCGTTGCTTTTGTAAATAAAGTTTTATGGGAACAGAGCCACACCCATTTCTTTATGTTGATCTGTGGCTGCCTTTCTTACACCAGCAGAATGGAGCAGTTGCAACGGAGACTGTGTGACCTTTAAAACCTAAATATTTATTATCTGGCTCTTTACAGAAAAGTTTGCCAATCCCTGCTGCAAAGAATGGGTCTTACGTCCCACAATCAGAGAGGGCTTGGAGAGTAGGTAGACAGAGTAATCTAGGTTTTGCTGCATCTGCAAGAGAGCCATCAATCCTGGTTCAGTGACGGTTTGCTGGGTCACCTCTGCACAGTGACTCAGGGGACTGACCAGTGATTAAACCTTTGAGCTTGGGACTTCAATAGGTCTGGGCTCAAATATGTCACATTATAAACCATGTGACCTTTCACTTTAACAAATTACTTAATCTTTCATTATGTTAGACAGGGATAATGCTATTACTTGCATCAGAGTAAGTATAAGGATTAAATAAGATAATTCAGCATTTCCCACAGTGCCTGACACATAGTAAATGTTTAGTAGTTGTCTCCTAAAAGTACCTGGTTGTTCACCCACATCGGCTTACCAGGGAAGGTTCACACGGTAACACAGATGGCAACTAAGGACAGCACACACCTAATGGGGACAGGTTTGGGGAGCTTCTGTTGAGGGCAAGCCCATGGTGATACACTGTTTGAACAGGCACAAACTGAGGGTGCTTTGCCTGGGAGGGGGATTTTAAGGTCCAAGAAAGCCTCTGTCAAGGGTTCTCCAAGGGCTGGAAAGGGTGCCTCTGTCATCAGAGATGCTTAGTAAATGTTTATTTAATGCCTATCCTGAAGAAAATCTAAGATATAGAAGTGAATGGAATTTATTTGTTTTGGGTTTAGAATGACACAAAGGGGAAAATGAAGTTCTGTGCACATTTGAAACGTTATTCACTTGACAACTTATTTATGTATTCAATGAAAAAAATTTTTGAGTACTTTGTGTAATGCCAGGCACTGTAGAGGTCACATGGTGTGATTGCCTTCGAGGAACTCACAGCCCAGTAGGGAGATGACAAGAAAAGAACTCCAATGTTGGGCAATAGAACAGAATAGTGTTGCATATGAAGGCTTTCTTCTCTGAAAAAGATAAAACATGCGATTTATTCCTTTTTTAAGGGTTTTTTCATCTTATGTTTTGGAATGCTCTTGGATAGTAAGGTATGTGATTTATTTCTCCCTTTATTCCCTAACCCAGGCATCTAACCCTTCCCATTCTGTTCTGAGGCCCCTTTTCATACAGAAGAGGCTAGATGATGAGTGCCTTTGGAATAAAGTTCTATAATTTTACAAAAGGCAATCTCAGTCAGGAGACAAAGGAACTAACCATTACTGTTGGTAATAAGCTATACAGAACTAATCACAACCTATAATGTGACTTTATAGAGTGAAAATGAAAAGTTTTTATTTAATTTTTCTATATTATATTATGGTTTGGCAATAATTAATGAACAAAAGTACTTTCCATAGGGGTGAGTTGCTTTTTCCCTTTAATTTATTCATTTACTTAGGATAATATCTACTGAAAGATAGAGATACTTCTACAGTTCTACAGTTTTATATAGTAAATAGCTTCTACAGTTAAATTTCTAAAAAGGACAAACAGTGTAAGTAAAACATAATAGAAAACATTTAAATAAATTCATTTTATTATTTTTCCCCTCACTGAGCAATTCTGTTGAGAGAGGTAAAGGCAATAAGCTAATAGATATAGGCTTTTAAAAAATCAGAATGTAAGAATATTTTATAATTAGCACAATTGTTGCACATGCACAAAACCCCTGTTAACAAAGAAGCAATTTGCTGTTCTTCATTGGCCTGAATAATTCTCTTGTCTGTACAAATCACATGCTTAGGAAACTTTTCACTTCAAAGATAAACTTTAATTTGGCAATTATTGCCAATTACTAATGTCTAGAATCTGAATTATTATGGCTTTTGGTACTGCTGTTTTTCATTTATTTCTAAATTTGTTTATACATTAAAAAAAAAAAAGAAGTAAAGGAAATAAAAGACAAAATCCTTTCATCAGATACCCATACTTACAGTCTATTAACTTCCTGGAAACTCTACTGTTAAATAACAGTTTCAGTCTGCAGTTTTTCTCTGGATTTGCCTTTGAATGATGAAATATGTTTATCTCAGTATTTCTTTGTTGCTTTTGCAGTTGCGACATCTGCTTTTCAACAACTTGTCTTCTTTAAGCTATTTGAAGCAGCCATTAAAGGTAATTATCTCATGCTGCCATGCATCCAATGCACAAACTTCCAGTTTTCCATTTCTATTTTTATACAATTCCATAGAAAAACCACTTTTTCTACCCCCCTTGGGTTTCTGTCACCATTATATTCTGGTTATCTGTCATGGTTCCCAGCACATGGTCAATACTCAGCAAAGAGTTGAGTGTGTGAGGGAGAGAATGAATACATGAATGAGAAGGCATGGAAAGCTTCAAGGGCACTCAACATCCGAGTCTGTGGGTGCTTTGTGAGCAAATACCTTTGAACAATATCATTTGCTTTAGTGTGACTTGTCGCCCAAGGGCTAGAGTTGGTAAGGCCCCTTTCTCTGCCTGACTTTTTGACTCTCCTATAGACCATTTTTTCTTCTCCAGAAAACTTCTAATGTATAAAACACAGTCTCTGAATTTTCTCTCATAAGCTGGTATAACTGGCTTTGTCCCATGCAATTTTAGCTTTTAAGTCTGCAAGCTGTCATCTGTATGAAAACAAAGGAATCCTGTTTCATTGTTCTCCACAAAAGTGCAATTCATATAAGAAGAATATAGTTAGAAATGAAAATACTTGCATTCGTAGTTTATATATAAATTTTTTTACTTTAATCTTTTATTCTTTTTTAAAAATTTTATTCAGTTATTTTTCAAGTACAGTTTTTTTTGTCTATTTCTCCCATCCCAGCCTCCCCCGCCCCTTGCTCCCCACCTCCCTCCCATTTCCACCCCCCTTAGTTCTCCTCCCTGTGTCCTTCCTATTTGTTTCTCCAAATTCCTCCCCCTTTTTCCCCTTAACTTCCCTTCCCTCTCCCCTCTGGTCACTGTCCCCTTGTTCTCTATTTCAGTGTCTTTGTGTTTTTTTTTTTTCTGCTTGCTTGTTTGTTTTGTTGTTTAGCTTCCTGTTAAAGGTGAGATCATATGGTATTTGTCTTTCAACACCTGGCCTATTTCACTCAGCATAATGCTTTCCAGTTCCATCCATGTTGTTGCAAAGGGTAGTAGCTCCTTCTTTCTCTCTGCTGCATAGAATTCCATTGTGTATATGTACCACAATTTTTTGATCCATTCATTTACTGATGGGCACCTAGGTTGCTTCTAACTCTTGGCTATTGTAAATTGTGCTGCTATGAACATTGTGGTGCATAGGTTCTTTGATATTGATGTTTTAGGATTCTTAGGGTATAATCCTAGCAGTGAAATTGTTGGGTCAAAAGGCAGGTCGATTTTTATTTTTCTGAGAAAATTCCATACTGTTTTCCATAATGGTTGTACCAGTCTGCAATCCCACCAACAGTGAACTAAGGACCCCTTTTCCCCACAACCTCTCCAACATTCGTTGTTTGTTTTTTTGTTTATGATAGCCATCCTGACCAGTGTAAAGTGGTATCTCATCGTGGTTTTAATTTGCATCTCTCTGATAGCTAACGATATTGAGCATCTCTTCATGTGTCTCTGGATGTTCTGTATGTCCTCCTTGGAGAAGTGTCTGTTCAAGTCCTTTTCCCATTTTTTAATTGGGTTGGGTGTCTTCTTAGAGTGGAGTCGTGTAAGTTCTTCATATATTTTGGAGATTAAACCTTTGTCTGAGGTATCATTGGCAAATATGTTTTCCCATACAGTTGGTTGCCTTGCTAATTTAATACTGTTTTCTTTAGCCACGCAGAAGCTTTTTATTTTGATGAGATCCCATTTGTTTATTCTTTCCTTTATATTCCTTGCTCTAGGGGACATATCAGTAAAAAAGCTGCTGCATGAAATATCTGAGATTTTCTTGCCGATGTTCTGTTCTAGGACTTTAATGGTGTCACAGCTTATATTTAAGTCTTTTATCCATCTTGAATTTATTACCATATACCAAAATAAATTCAAGATCATAGTTTATATTTTTTATGTTAATTCAGACTTTCCTCTTTCAGCAAAACAATGAGGAATTGTAGAAAAGTTTCTAAAGTAAAGATTTCTGTTGGATAAAAGTCTACTAACTTAAGTACATGATAACCTACATGGATGTCTAGGCATTTTTACAGTAGACAATATAACCTTTTGAAATAAAGAACAGTGAGAAAATCAACCTTTGATGTTAAAAAATTTTCCTGAGTGTGCATTTCATAGTAGACAGACAACACGGCTCTAACTGAGGGATCAGTAGCCCGTGACCCTGCAGACCTTCCCTGTATTTCTTTTTTCTTCTCTTGTTTGTATTATTATTGTTGTTGTTAAGTTAAAATTATTTGGTTAATAACATTGTATAGGTTTCAAGCGTACAATTCTATAATACATCATCTGTGTATTGCATTGTGTGCCCACTCCCCAAAGGGGCTCCATATATGTGATGGAGGGATACTAGACTTTGGGTGGTGCGCCCTCTATTTCTGACTCAGTAACCATCTGGCAGCACAACCTTAGGAAAATCAGTTCCTTTTGGTTTCAATTTTCTCAACTGTTAAAATGAAGTATTGAACTAGTTACTCAAAGCAGAAGTTCTACCATTCCATAATTTTGAGTTTCTGTCTTGAACTAAAATTCCTTGAACCAGAAAATGTGAAACAAATGAATAGTTCACTACTCTTAAGAAAAGGAGCAAGCAACAGCTTACGCGACTGCATTAAAGGAAAACCTCACTGAGTAAAGTGAGACAGGACGCCCTTCACCCCACAAAGCAGGCTGTCAAAATGTTTCTCACTGGAAGATCAAAGAGAGAAAAACACCCCACAGTACACAAAACCAAAAGCAACGAAGCATGACAATGTCTTTTCTCCCTGTTTCTAATGTAGTCTTGACACTTTTCAAGAAGGACACAGTGGTCAGTGAGGGGTCTTCATCTTCTGGATGTGCCCCCTGTCCCCAACTGTGTTTTCAAACCAAATGATAAAAAAGGCTTTTTATTTGGGGGTTATGTGGCCCTTTTGCTTTAAAAGTTCATTTGGCAGAAGAAAAGATGAGTATTTGTAACTTCCTGAGGAACTTGGCATGAACAAGAAGGAGCCCAGAGTACAGTGGTTGAGGAATGATGAGAAGAAGTAGGAGAGCTAACCCTGGGCATGAATGCTCCCTCCTGTCAAGATTCTCTGTTGTGAGAGAAAAGAGCAAGGTAGTGACCAGATGCAGACACAGGACCAGAGGGACAGGGTAGAGCAGAGTTGCCAGAGTGCGAGCAAGTTCATGTGTTGGGAGAGAGGGAGGATAGTTGATGGTAGAGGGTTCCTGGGAAGTCAGGTTGAATGGCCAAACTGCAGGTGGGGAAATCCACCTCTTCACTGGACACAGGAAGTTTCAGGCTGGTGCAGACAGAGTAACATGTGCATTGGGGACATGATGTAGGACAATTCAGGCCTGGATACTTTTTTTTTTTTTTTTAAGTAGGAGACAAGGCCATTCGCTGAGTAATGGGCAAAGGGGTGGTGAAGCAGGGATCTTGAAAACAGCAGTGAACATTTGGAGAGCTGGCTGAAGGGAATGAAAACAGAAACCAATAATGTTCTCAGCAAATATCAGCCCTCAAGCCACCATAAAACTCTGTGGGGACCCATGATGAGGTTTCTCTTGAAATACTCCCCCTGCTTCTTCTTGGTCTTCCTTTGTCTCTAGCCACATTCTCTATAATCCTGAACCAAGAGGCAGACAAGTGACCCCTATAGACTTCCCCTCCACAAAGAAGGGTTTATTTATTCTTATTTCCAATGACTCATGTCCTGCTTTCAAGCAATAGCTTAAATGCATGTAAATGTACATGTCTAAGAGGCTGCTTTTCCCAGACCATATTGAGTCCTTGAGTGTGTTGCAATCCAAGACTTCTTTCCAAATGGGGCAAGATGCAGTTTAAACAGCAATGATCATGACCTTGGAATTGTTCTTTAGGGTTTTAGTAGTATATGTTTATGAACCCTGAATTCTAGAAAATCAATTCTTTGCTTTGGAACTTTTTTAGACATTTCTCATTCCTGCCTCTTTGATAATTTTTTTTCAGAGCTTGATGTAGGGTAGCTACCTTTATATTTCAGTGAAAATTAAGAGGCTATCACTAGGCCACCTACTGCATATAATAAGAACTCATTTCTCCTATTCTGATTTAGCTTCCTCACGACATGAACTGTAGCAAGAAACAAAGCTTATTTCTTTCAGTATTTGTGGTGTCTAAAATAGTGTCTGGCACAAAACAGCATTCAGTATGAGATGTTTAAATTAAATTAGCAATTAATTATCGAGTGAGAACAGGACAGAATACATATACCTTAACACTTTTATCTTTCCCAAGTAAGTGCATGCTGCTTATTTTACATATTGTATTTCATTTTGATAACTTAGTTTTCAAAATTTTAAATTCTGTTTTGCCTTTGCACCAATGACAAAAGAACTATTCACAAAGACATTTGAGTACTGAGAGGAGGCAGAATAAAGCAAAGCTTTCCTGGAGATCATTTCTACTAGAAATGTTGTTTTTGCATCGTGGGTTCTTCAAGTGATGAATGTGTGAACCAAGAAGTGTAATCACAGGCATGAAAAAGGGATAATATCTCCTTTACAACTGTTTTTTTAGTTTGTTGTTAGAAGTTGAAGAATAGAAACAAGATTCACAAGATTCACTTAGAAATAAGTTCTTAGACCTTTTCAATTGATTAAAACAGAAGAAAGAATAGGAAACTGAGTACTCTAATTTCTTGAAAGGAGAACAGCACACTATGTAGATAGAATGAAGGATTGTTGATGACATCGGGAAGTCAGGAAATGTGCACTGTCACCAATAAGATACTATTCATGTTCAATGACTTGCTTTTCTTTTGTGCAGCAAAATTCACCAGAATTATCTGCTATACCGAAGTCTTTCAACCTATTGCGACATAAAGGTGAGTCATAATAAACCAAAGGATATAAAAGGTAGGAAGAGAGACTATAAATACATCATATAAGGAAAACTCAATGACAACTTTTTAAAAATTCATGTGATAAATGTGAGAGAATCAGCCAGCTGTGAGTCTGGAGTTCATCTGAGTGGTGCTCAAGGATAACACAGTAATGTTGGATTTGACACTCACGGAGATCAGCGAGTATCACCTTTAATATGATCACAAATTACTAGCATTTTCTCAATTAGACGGTATATAAATCTGTCACATTGATCATTGAGGCCATGGGATGTGGTTAGACTAACATCACTGTGTCCTTACTAGAGAGTCATTCCTTTGTGCCAGCTGCTGAGTAGTGGGTATGGGCCAGGAGCTTGTGCCCTACTGTTGGGTGTAACCTTCCCGCTAAACTGTTCCTGGGAAAGGAGGAGCCACCATCTGCTCTGGGGGAAAGAGAACTGTCCCCTCTGCCTATGACATGCTTTGTTCCTGTGCTCATACATTGGCTGTTGCCAACATCAATGATATTCGTCTACTGGGAGACTGATATGTAAGCATTGTAAGTAGTTGCTGTATTCCAGAAGGGTGCATGCAGCGTGGAGGCTGAAGAAGAGAGTGCGTTACAAGTTAAGTTGAAGTCATACTTGAGAGTTCCATTTCATGTTAAATCACACTAATACATTATTAAGGTAGGGAAACAGGCAACTCACTTTGAATTCCAATAAAAATTATTTGAATACCAGGTAAAGTTCAAGTGTCTGAACTTGGAAAAAACACTTTCCTCCCCAAATGAGTAATGTGCTCATCTACAAAGCCTCAAGTCCTGTTATCACGGCCACCAACCAGCCAGAGTGCTTTTCGCAAACCTCTTTACCTTTTTGGATGCTGTTCATCATCAGTAAAATGAAAAAAAAACAAAAACAAAAACAAAAACAAAACTAAGAGATTACTAAGGGTCCTTTCAGCGATAACATTCTGAGATCTCAAACCTACTTTATGTCATTATCCAGCAATATCTGAAAAAATATGTTGCTTCTCTTCTCAAGTGAGAGTTGTCTGACAAATAAATGCAAGTTTCTGTGAATTAATGAAATGCTGTTCCTGTTGACAAGCTACATTCTAGATGTTTCCCTACTGTTTTTTTAAATGTCCAGAATTCTATGAAATTGCATATGCCTTTCAATTTTGTCTCATGCTTGATTCCAACATAGTAGCCAGAATTCTAATCTTCTTTTTCCTCTCTTAGGCACTTATGCATTTTCTCATACTGGAGAGTCCTCAAATGACATCAGGCTAACTCAGTTTTTATCAACTGAATAAACCACAAAATCAAGAGAAAAATTTTTCTGGAGCAAGTTGACATTTAGAGCTAAATGTCAGTGATGAAATTAGCTCAATATTAGATGAAATTTTATGATTTAAAAGTTGTGAATAAAAGAAAATTTTCAGTGGATTCATCTCTGCCCTCTTTATCTTCAGTTAAATGAAGAGATGGATTTTCATGTGGTTTGATTAAAAAGAATTGCTACATATATGTAGAAGAGTAGGTTTCAGCAGAAATTATATCAGTTGTACCAGCCTGTCGCTGCCGCAAACTGTGGTCTCCTTTTTCATAAAACAGCATTATTCATATGGCATTTCCAATCATCTGAATCAGAGTAAGAAAATTGCATGAAATTGCCTTAGAAAAATTGAGGGACCATGTTCACTTTCTTATCAAAAAGTCATTGCTGTAAATTTTCTAAGAAAAAGTCATTTCCCTCCCCAATTTCCTAGTTGGATCTTATACTTATTTTTGCCTTTTGTTTTAGTTACTTAACTTTAAAAGTTAATCAGAAATAAAGTGAAAACTTCCATTTCATATCTAATGCAGCATTTCTGAGTCTACAAGGCAGTTTCGTCTGGTCCCCAATCCAGTGACATGAGTGTGCCAGTAGACCCCAAGCAGAGAGGAAGAAGTGGAGGCTTGGAGAAGTGGAGGGACTTGTCAAACAGTATAAAGGCAATAACAGGTTATTGGGGACTTTTGGTTTCTAGTCCATGTCTACTGCCCCATAATTGCCTTGAAAATTAGCTGCAATCCTAATAAAGCTTTATGAGGCTACACACGAAGTTCATTACTCCCAGAATTCTGTGGGTAAGTGGCAAAGTGAGGGAGAGTTTGGTTGTTGGCTTCCAGGGAGGGGCCCTAAAACATTCTGGATTTCTCTCCTAATACATCATAGGTACTCTCTGGGAGTTATTTACATGCATCATCAATGCTACTTTCAGGTGAGATATAGAGCAGCAGGTGAAGAGACACTGTGTGAAGTGACATTTTATTTCCATATTTCTATCCCTTTTGGTTCACCTGAGTATCAGCCCTGACTACAGTGCATAGAGCAGCCAAAGCCTTTGATTCCTCTTTGTTTTCAGAGTATCCTAGAGATTTGCACTGGTAGTTTTTAAGGCAAGAGTTGATTTCTCTCACCAATAAGTGTGATGATGATGATGCTGCTGGTGATGATGGTAATGGTAGTGATGGTGTCATGGTGTTGATGATAATGGTAAGATGTCAAAGAAGAATCAACACTTATAGTGCTCACTATGTGCCAGGGAATGAATATATATATATATATATATATATATATATATATATATATAGTATATGTTGTATTCTTTTTAAAAAACCTTAATTGATTTTAGAGAGAGAAAAGGAAAGAGAAACATTAATTTGTTGTTCCATTAATTTATGCATTTATTGGTTGACTCTTGTATGTGCTTTGAATGGGAATTAAACCTGCAACCTGGGCATATCATGATGATTCTCCAACAGACTGAGTCACCTAGCCAGGGCTAGCATATGTTAATTGATTTAATTGTCACAATAAGTTTGTGTGGTGAGGGATATTATTTTACAGCTGCAAAAACTAAGCACAGAGAGCTTACATGATGTGGGGAGGGTGAGATGGAGGGAAGTGGCTATGCTGGGATAATAGTTATGGATGTGAAATTACAATAAGAAGAGGGTAATGTAAGTCAGGCTAGAAAAAAATTGCATTATTTATTTAATTGTAATTAGGATCCTAGACTCTCTGGTCTGTAAGGGATCTCAGCATCACCTAGTCAGTCTTTTTACATGAAGTCCTGGTGTCCTAAACCTCAGTAGCCTGTGAAGTCATGTGCAGTATTAAGGGCTATCTATAGTAGTGTATTGGTTACCTTGGACTTCCATAACAGAATACCACAGACTGTGCAGTTTAAAGAGAAATTTATCTCATCACAGTTCTGGAGGTTAGAAGTCCAAGATCAAGGTGCTGTTAGGGTAGTTTTCTGTGAGACACTCATCCAGTCTCAGATGTCCTAACATGGCCTCTTTTCAGTTCACATTCAAATAGAGCTTTCTGGTGTCCCTTCCTCTTCTTATAAGGACACCAATTCTATAAGATGAGGGCCTCACCCTATGATCTCATTTAACCTTGATTACCTCCATAATTGCACTATCTCCAAATACAGTAACATTGGAAGTTAGGGCTTCAACATATCAGTTATGCAGGGACAAGATTCAGTTCATAACAAGTAGCTAGAATGCATGCTTGCCTGTTTAATTGAAATTACGGTCTTTCAACGTGTCCTCCCAGTTATTTCTTGAGGTTTCTAAGGGAATGGTGAAGGATACTCTCTCAGGGACAGTGACTACAGTTTTCCAGGACTACTGCATATGGTCTCTCGGACTGTGCATTCAAGAGGATGCCATTCTTACACTTTGCACAACAAGTGGTCCCACCTAAAGCAGTCCAGGCCATAATCTGCACCATCGTTTGTGGCAGCCTTGACTGGGCCCATTCACCTTGACCTCCCTCTCTTGTTCTGGCTCTCACACATCCACAGTTGCTGTTTACAGGCTGACCTTGGGGAATTTTCACTCCCATGCCTACCTATCATGGAAAGGCCAATGCTCATGCCAAGAGTACTGATCCCAGGTATTTCTAAAGCTCCCAGTTCTCATGGCATCAGAATGGTTCTGAGTAGCTTCCTTTCAGTCTCTTCATCAGGATGAGCCCACAGTCAACAGTCAGGCTAGAGTAGTCACATGTGAATGCCAGCTGTTAGTAAGAGTAAGCCCATGAAGGTTAGACGGTTCCTGTCCCACATACTTTCACCCTTCTTCTACTGACAAGAAGGAGGAGCTATAGATGCCTTTTCATGATGCCCAAACAGGAGGAAGGGGGCAGAGCATGTGGATTTGTGCCAAACATTTGCTAATCAGTCCATGCTCTCTGTCACAGCACATCCTACTCAGGGCAGTGTACCTGGATTAAATTCCATGAAAACATTGAACGTTAGCACACATGTTCAAATAGGACATAAGACATATTTCTGAATGGGCTATTACAGAAACTTAAGAGTATCTGATAACCTCTTGCCCTGAACAGCCTTCATAAAGTGCAAATAAAGAGAGCAAGGGAACTTCTAGTTAATGGTAGTGGATTGAATAAGTGTGCAAACAGTAAATTAAAATGTAAGGTTCCATGAGGCACCAAGAAGCAGCACACATGAAGTGCCAAAGTAAAGTGTTCCAAGTAATTAAATAGGGACCAGTGGGTTCCATACTCTACAAAGACATGTAAGTCAAAATGGAATTTTATGAGAAGAATTTCCTTATAGAAAACTTATTTGTGAGTCTCCTAATTCCATCTATCCCAAAAGTGAGATAAGGAGGGATGCTTGTCTTCTGACCTTAAGCCCAGTAAGAGACGATGTCTTAGCCTTCTGAGGGACAACAACAGTTAGGGTGCATGGCTGACTGGGGTCTGATTCTTGCCTGGAACAGTGGCCACAGATCTACAGGTAGATCCCTGAATGGGCTCTGTGCTGAGACCCACCTACATGCTTAGAGTTTGTCAGAGCAAACGTGTGTGTGTGTGTTTCCCATTGACCATGGGGAGACAAGCAAGAGAGAGACAATACATGGCTGTTTTGGGTACTGTCTAATAAGGCCATCCAAAGTAATGAAAAGATCTTAGAAGCAAGAAGCTATAGGAGAAATGAGATTAGGGGATAAAGAAGGAGTCACAAGTGACCACTTAGAATACAGATGAATTTGCATTTGTTAAAGGAATTGCAGGTGAGAGAGTTCAGGGATACGGGAATTTCTGAGGAGTTCTTAAATAAAGCCTCTTTTGTTATCCAGTTATTATCCAGAGCCCTGACACCATATGAAGGTTACATTCCATAAGACATACCTCCTTTCCCTGGATTTGGGGGTAGGGAGGTCAAAACCTCAGTTCCCAAGATGGGATGGAAGGAGAGGGAAAAAGCTAAGCAAAAATGTCCACCAGCAAGTGGAGATGTGATATTGTGAGCAGCCAACCCAAAGCAGGACTCAGTTGGGGGAGAAGAGAAATTTAATGTTAAATTATTTCTAGTTTTCATGTTTACATGAGATTGGATATCCTAATTATCAAACTGAGAACATGTTAGTATTTAAATTGACCAAAATACTACTATTACCTGAGCACATTTGTCTCATAGCTAGAATAGATCTGGCTCTCCACATTGAATAAATTTTATACAAATGATGACAGTCAAGATAAACATGTGTTTGATCACATACAACATGCTATGTTTTCTAACCCACTGATTACACCTGTATTCACTTCAGACTCCTCCCAAAGTATTAACAAAAAAAGAAAGTAATAAAAAAACATTTAGTAGTGTGTTAAAACATTCATGTGTTAAAAAATTACAATAAACTTAGCTGCTTAAAACAACACGCATTTATTATTGTATGGTTTCCATGGATCGGAAATCCAGACACGGCTAATTGAGTCCTTTGCTCAGGATCTCACAAGACTGTAATCACTGTGCTCTTCAGGCTGCATTTTCATCTGGAAGCTCAACTGGGAAAGAATGGAATTCCAGCTCATTCAGGTTGTTGGCAGAACTCATTTCCTTGCAGTAGTGGGAATGGGAAACTTGGATTTTTGCTAACTATTGGTTAGAGATTACCCTGAGACCCTCGAAGCCACCTACACTTCCCCGTCACATAGGATTCTTCAACACGACCATTTATGCCATTAAGCCTGCAAGAAGAATCTCTTACTACAGGCTGCTTTTAAGGGAGTCTTGTATAATGTAAGGTGATTGGGGGAGTAATACACTGTAACTTTTGTCAACTTCTATTGTTAGAAGTAAGTCACAGGTCCTGGCCACAGTCAAGGGGATGATAGATGAAAATAGACAGTTATAATCTGAATATTTGTGTCCCCCCACATTGATATGCTAAAATTCTGACCCCCATGGTCAGGATTTTATGGACTGGTAGTAGGTGAAGTCTTTGGCAAGTACTTAGGTCATGAGGGTGAAGCCCTCATGAATGGGATTGATTCTCTTATAAATGAGACCCTGCAGAGGTCCCTAGCCCCTTCTGACATGTGAGGACACAGCAGGAAGGCGGCAGTCTGCTTCTCTGAAGAGAACACTCACCATGCTGACACTGCGGTCTTGAACTTGCAGCCTCCAGAATTGTGAGAAATAAATATCTATTTATAAGGCACCCAGTCTATGGTGGTTTTTTATAACAGTCTAAACTAACTAAGACAACATCATTGTAAAATTTCAGGGCATGGCATAAGAAAAGAAAACCCAAAAATTATCAGAAAGAAAAAATAGGTTTTACATAAAGAGTCAAAATCAGAATATTATCAGAACTTTTCACAGTAATTGTGTAAGCTAGATAACAGTGGGGGATGCCTTCAAAATATTACAAAAAAAAATGGTGGCCACCTAGAAGCAATTAAGTGTGAAGAAGAATCAAGATATTGTCAGACAAAAATTCTTGATAAGTTTTCTTCCAATGAGTTATTTCCCAAAAGATCTTGGGGAATAAATTCCACCGGAAGCGGCAATAACCCAGAAAGAGGAAGGCTTGGGTCCCCAAAACAAAAGACATAATAGCAGAGAGAGCTGGGGGAACCTACAGGATGGGAGTACAATGAGTTGCTATCCACAAAACAGCTATGGGGAGGGTCCAGACTGGACCTGCAGATGAGATTGCTTCAGAAGATGAAAAAGATCGGGTATGTAATGTATTTGAGTGCTGTTTAAAGAGCTTTACAAACCTGGGGTGGGTTGGAGAGGAATTTTTGATAAGAACACAAAAATCCAAGAAAAAAATTAAAAAGTGTTAGATTAACAGAAACAAAATGTGCAGAAAAGAGAAAGCAATGAAACATCCCACGTTGCTCAGCTCTGAATGGAGTATACAGTGTACCAATAATGTAAAATGACTTTGATATAACCAAATGATATGTTGGGAAAGTGGAGAATAGGAAGTATACTTTATGGGATGGCAAAAGAGGTCTAAATCTTCATTCTTTGTTTTTGGAAATCAAAACTGAGAAGCCAAGAAGTAGCATTGTGATCATATTGTTTAGCAATACAGAAATAAATATCAAAAGAATAAACTAAATGAGTCAAAAGATATCATCTCTGAGAAGAAGGGAATTATAGAATTATTTGACTCTAAAAATCATATTCATGTAACTGGTTAAGTATAAGTAAACATGTGTGTCTGTGGGTGCATGT